AAAATAATTAAGAACAAAAAAAATTGTTTTAAATTAATACTGATTTTGATTATTAATAAGTTAAAAATAACGAAAATGACATATTTAACCTATTTTTTTAATCGTTTAAAGTTGATTGTTGTAAATGTTTATAATAAAAAAAATTTATTTTACCATAACTTTTAGCTCAATTGGTAAGTTTGACATTAACATCATTAAATAGAAAATTTTATGACAATTAAAAAAATATATCATTATACTTGATCCAACTATGCCACGACCCCCCTGTGCTGGGTTTTCACTTTTGTAGTTGAATACTTTTATCATATCAAATCTAATTCGACAATGAATATTTTAAGAATTTTAGAAATTAATGATTTTAATTGTTTGTGTGGAAATAGCTGGTTAAGCTACTTTTTATTTGAATAAGGAATATTTTTTCGATTTTTAAGAGTAATGACTTAAACTAAATACGAATTGTAATCATTTGACGTATCGTTGAAATAGTAGGTCTAGAGGGTTGGTAAAATAAATCTGTGATCGCCCGAGATTTGTTTTGATGCGTCATAAACCTCATGAGTTTAGAACTAGGTTAGTTAAGGAGCCATTTTACTGGAAGTGAAATTCTATACATGTGTTATTTATGAATTGTTATGATGATGTGTTTTATGTATAATTATCGTATAAGAAGCATTTTATATTAATTATTATTGTAAAATATATTTATAAAAATAATTTTATTATTTAAATAATAAAACCATTTGGTAGTTTGTAAAAGAAAAACTTTCTTCTCCTTAATTTCTATTAAAAAGTATTAGAAAAAGAATTCACCATCTAAAAATCTCAATAGTTACACTAAATATAATTTATTAAATAAAATGTCATCAGTAATGAGGTTACTGAGATTTGAAGGTCTAATTTGTTTCAAAGAATTTCCTTTGAACTTCCTTATCAAAAAAAATTAAGTACACACTAGATTTCCTTTAATATAGTTCTGGACACAGCTTGATTATTACAAATAAAACCAATTATGTACAATAAATGAATTACTGCTCGTAATTTTAAATTTAAATAATTCATTCATTCATTTATATGTAATAAAACAATTCATTTTTTCATTTTCTCATAAAAAATAATTAACATTATATAAATACCATTGTTAGGTACTGAAATATGAATTTATTTTAAGTTAAAATAGAACAAAAAATATATATACAATCATTTTTTTAATTTTATACAAATTCAAAAATGCTATTTTAAGTTTAAATCTATATTATATATATATATACATACATACGCATATAAGTAATACACATTTTAAATATTATAATTATAAACAGAAATAGTTTTGTTAATAGCTACCAGTAATGTATTAATAACAATTTATTTATAGAACATTAATTTTGACTTAAAAATACTATATTTCAAAATAACTTCCTTCTTTTTTGATTTTTATTAGCTACCTTTTTTTGTCTTTGATCATTTAAAAGTTTTGACCGAAATGTAATGCACTAAAAATAATTTAAACTTAATTATTTATGTTACAGTATAAATTAATAAAACATGTATTTCAAGCTATAATTTTAACATAATATTTTAATGAATATACAAAATTTAAATATACCGTGAATAGTGGCAGATTCATAGGTAGAGAGTTTAGTCTCCAATTATATTAATAATTATTTCATATAATATTCAGGTTAAAATCCAAATATTTACATAATTATATTAAATAGTACCTTTGAACTATAGATATTTTATTAAAATCCACTCTCAGTAAGAAAAATTTTAAAAATCTGCTACTACACATGAATTAAAATGTTGATTTTAAGTTTAAGCTCATTAAAAAATCTCAACTTCAAATTAATTACAATCTATAAGCTTTATAATAAAATTTTATAAATGCTACAAAGGTATCAGATCAATTCAATAATAGTAATTTATTATAGCTCCCAAGTTAATTTTTATATCATAATTTATAAATTAAAAGATTTATGATGTTAAAATTAATTATGGAAATGGGTAAAAGATACAAATTTTGAATGATATTTTGTTAGGATAAGATTTAAAATATCAAACGTAGAAAATTGCTACTTTAAAATAATACTCCTTTATTTACTTAAAATCTAGAATTTTCTTATATGAGGAATGGTGAGAAATCACTAAGCAAATCTCAAAATTATGATTATACAAATCTTTATAAATTAACTCCTCCATAGTGCTACTTAAATTAACTTAAAATTGTATATTTTTTTAATTAAACAAGCTACACAAACCTAACCATGATTACCCTTCATAAGTTAAGAAGAAATAATTTAAAAACTAAATGGACTTATATCTTATGTGCTCCCTCCCCATAAGTCTTCCCTTGGTTTCACATAATTCTAAGTAACTTGCAATCTGTTGTAATATTTAGTGAATATATGATTTTGATCATTATATATGAATTTTCTTTGTCTTCCTTATGGAACCCATTGAACTATCAACTCATTGATCTTTTAGAGTCAAATATAATAAAATATTACTAACTTTTTATTTCAAAATATACAGTGATTCTTTTAATAAATCTCTTTTTTTGCATAAGATAAAAATATTAATAACATTCGAAGTAATGGCCTAAAAAGGAGTTATCGGCCAGTCATTTTATTAACTAGTTCATTTATTATCATTTATTATACAGGTTGTTTTTTATGACTCACAACAATGTGCCTTACTACCTTTGATAATAAATGGTGTGTACCTACGAATATCGATGTCATAAAAAACCAATTAACTACCGGTATTTGTAATTCTTTGTGTATTATACATTTATATTAACTCAAGAATTTTAAATATTTATATCTAATAAACGAATAAAGTTATATTAAAAATTCAAATGCCATTTACTATTAAATTAAAAACTCAAACATTTTATTAAATTCAAAATATGTGTTCCCATTTAAAAAACAAAGTTAACACCCTTACAATGTATAAAGGATGAACTTAAAAAGTATTACATAATTAGTAATTCAAGAATAATGTGTAACTAAAGTTAATAAAAAAAAAAAATGTTCAAATTATATTTATTCTGTAAGTAATTTAGTGGGTTATGATAAAAAAATCACTCTGTATTTCAAAGTCAGATTTAAATGTGCAAAATAACAAACCAATGGCAAAAATATTAAATCATTTCTGATTGCTCCACTGTAATGAACATATGAATCAATTTATTATATTTTCAATTCAATTTTTAAATAATTTGATTTAATTTTAAATTGAATAAATTGCCTGATAAGCATTAAGTCTTTTAATTTTTTATCATCTTTATCTAGAACTGTTAAGATTTTTCTTTGAATAAAAACCAATATTTTTCTATAGATATACTAAACATGAGCTATTTATTAACATGATTTAATATAAAATCAAAATAAATTGTTATGAATTTAGTATCTTCTTAAAAGCAATAAATGATATAAAACTGAGTAGCAGTTTTTGTGCCAATGTGGTTTTTAATATATATTTTTGTAATAATTTGTGAATTATTTTGAATTTAATATTTTATATATTATGTAGTCATTTTTTTAAATTTATACAATAATATTGAAAAATAAGTATACTTATGCGTTTTAGTCAATCAAATACATCAATTTACAAATTAATATACAATTTAAATCAAATACATTTAAATTAAGCAATAAAAATCGTAATATGATCGAGCTATTTCAGCTATAGTAATAAAACGATTGATACAATGAAATTTTTTTTACTTATTACTATTATTTTTTAAAATTTACTTTTAAACAATTTTTGTATGAAATTTTTGTATCACATATGGTTTGTGATTTATAAATATGCATATTTTGACATTTTTCTAGAAAACTAATAGATTAACTGTTAAAACTTAATTCATACAAAAGAATTAGATCTACAATTTAGTTTGAATAATTTTTTTTTTTGTGATAGCGCTAATTTAAAAAAAGTCAGTTTTAGCAATTTGGTCGATTTTTAACAACAAGTTGGCATGGGTTAAACTTATCTGATAAGCCTGAAATTTTTTGTAGCCACTTTTTTATATGTAAAAACTCAATTTTTGGGGATGAACCCATAAAATTTCCTAAATTTTCAAAATAAGGGACATTCTAATATGTATGTTGCCAAAAAAAAATAAAGTGGGCATCCTTATAAGGTATAAGAGATGAATTAAAAGTGTACTAAATAATTAATAAATCAAGAAATATTTAAAATTAAAAATTACCAAAAAGAATTTTCTTAATATAATTATTATTTGAAGACAAATCGAGTAGTTAATATTAAAATAATCACCTTTTATAGAACCCAAAATAATTTAAGAAACTAATAATTTTATTTTTATAGATTCTAAATAAATAGGAAATATTAAATATATGTTTTTATACTTTATCATCTAAAAATGTCATGAGTTTCTGCATGCCCACATTAACATTATATTTTTTTAAATCTTCTTTTAAAACTTCAATCCAAATTGGTTCATAACATAATATTTTATTGTGTAAGCTTTTGTCAGCTTTTAATAGTTGTGAAAATCCAAGTTCTATGGGTACTAAAAATTTAATTAAATATTAAAATAAATTTTTACTATATCTTAATGTTTTGTTAAATCCTTAAAAATATACTAATAAATTTCATGTACTATTAACTATAATAATTTACTGTACATTTTTGTAAAGCTACAAAATTTACCTTTATTTGAATGAGCTTGACTAAAAGTTTCCAACTCATCACTGCTATCTTCTAAGTATTCTGGTATCCCTGTTTCTGAACTGTTTCAAAAACACAATAGTTTTATTATTATTTGCAAATATGTATAAATAGAGTTATCTCATAAAAGGACCGGCTCCGTATAATACAATTTAAATACAAATAGGTTATTATAGTGTTAAGAGTAATTTAACAAAGTTAAGAAATAAAAAAAAACAGAGATCATTAAAAATTCCAATAATACAATAGATAATTCTCTTAATACACAAAAAAAAGTTATCAGACTAATAGTTTCTCTCAAAAAGAAAATTTGTCCCAAAAAAATGATAAAGTAAAATCAAAAGATGCTCATTCAAATGGTGATATTCAAAGTAAAATAACAAAAAATAAAGTTAATCTTTTGGACCACGTCAAAAACACATTTTTTATAATTAAAAAATAATTTTTATTTTGTAAATTTTTCAACATTTCAAAATAGCCATTATTTTGCACTTTTGTTACAAAAAAATTTTATGGGTCATAACAAATTTAGAATTAGTATTTTGAGTTATAAGCATTTTAATGCATAAAATTAAAAATTAATTTTCTTTTTGAAGAAAATTTTATTATATGAAACAAATAACAAATAAACGGTAGCACAGTATGGACGTGGCATAGTTGGGACAAGTATAAATGATATCTGACAGTGATTAAAATCACTATCATAAAAAACACTTCAATCCAAATCTATAGATAGTGTTTAATTTTAAAAAATTAATGCATTATTTCAAAAGAAACAATAACTCTTATTCCCTTAATTTTATTCCGATTAGTTATTTGATTTATAATTATAATATATAAATACATAATAATTATAGTAATTAAATTTAGTATGAAATTGATATTTAATAAAATTTGTAATTTTTTTGGGAACTTCCCCCGTTTACGGGGAACGAGGGAATTTTTTTCAATTTTTGAAGGTAATGTCTTCGACTAGATACAATTTATGATCTTTTGACGTATTGTTCACCAAAATCGATCCAGCTAGAGCTGAGATTTCACAGACACACAAAAAAAAAAGTAAATAAAAAAAAAAACACTTCATAGTAAAATGAATTACTTCTCAGCATCGCATCGAAGCTAAAATTACAAATTGGTCTATACTGTTTTGATAAATCTTTTAAACAACATTTTGTATTACTTAAAAAAAATATATATATATATTCTTAAAATATATTAAATAATAAATATTTAGCTTCGATACGAAGCTGAGAAGGTATTAAATTACTATTGTGTTTTTTTTTTTATGTCTGTTACTACTTTTTCTTAGCTCACACTGAACCGATTCCTTTCAACCATTGGTCAAAATATCACAAATTGTATCTAGTTGAAGACATTACATTCAAAAATTCATAAAATTTTCTTTGTTTTTTTGTAAATGGAGAAAATCCCCCAAACAATTAGGATTTTTAATATCGGTCAATTCGACATTTTTTTCACTTTTTTCTAAAAATTGCCATAACTTATTGAAAAAAAAAAACAAATCAAAATAATTTTTTTTTATATTGAAACCTTAAATAATTCCTTAAATAAATTAAATAAATTTATTTGATATATTTTTGAAAATCCAACCATTTACTTTCCCACGAGAAGGGATTCAAAATAGCAATGTTTTCACAAAAGTATATTTTTTCAATTTAATGTTTGAAAATGTTCCAGAAATACTGCATCTTTTAAATATATGTTAAATTAAAGCTTTAGTTATGTGCTATAAGTTAAAAGAATAAAAATGTTTCCCGACAACCTATCTTCTTTATGCAAATGGCTACCATAGGTAAAAAAACATGCCATTTTTATGTTCAAATTTTTTTTTTGTTTATTTAAAAATTTCTTATAAGGTTTTGCCATAGTAATAAGTCCACCCATAAATATAAAATTTACATTAATCTAACTTACACATTAAATAAAGAATTTATAGATATTTTGAATATTTTTCCTCTTCAAATTTAAGAAAAGCTTTTTTGAATTTTTGAAACTTGAAAATTTGTATAGTAAGTAGACTTGTTCAACTTAACTATTAAAATTGTTCCGGGAATACTGTGTCTTTTAAATATATGTTATACATATATATTGGTAAATTAGATCTAACTGACAATTCTTATAACTTTTGATATTATGAACATTTTGTGATTTTTTAAAATACTTTATGCATTTATAGACTACATTTAATGTATAACAATAATAAAAAAAAAAAATTTTTTTTAGTTACATTATGTTCTTGAATAATTAGCTAAGTAAAATGTTTAAAGTTTTATTAATTCAAAATATGTGTTCCCATTTGAAAACCAAAGTTGACACTCTTACAATACATAAGGGATGAATGAACTTAAAAAGTGTTATTTAGCTAATTATTCAAGAATAATATATAACTAAAGATAACCAAAAAAAATATTTTTATGCTGTAAGTAATTGAGTAGGTTATGATAAAAAAATTATTCTGTATGCATTTTTTTTAAATTTAAATTTTTAAACCTTTTTTTTATTTATAAAATTTTTTACCTCATTGTAGAGTCTAGATCTTCACATAAATCCTTATCAATAATTTGATTATATTCTTTTGAAGTTGCATTAGGATGAAGTTCATTATAGATGTATTTTAACAATTGTTTACCTTTCCGTTTACCTAAATTTGGTTTTAGTCCGTAGCGATCAAGTTCTTTCTACAACAAAAAGTTTTAATTTATTAATATCACATAATTTACATATTTGTTGGATTAGTAATTACAGTTTTCATTGTTATCTTCTAAATAAAGAAAAAATAAATCATTAAATATATATTTGTTTAGAATATAAATTGTACAACTAAAATAAATCTTAAATTAATGTATCTTAATTCATAAAATATAATTGAATGGTTCTTAGTGCAACAATAAGGCAAACTCAACTTTTTCCATAAAATAATTTTTTATTATCTTCGAATAAATATTATTTTTCTGTGTACTTCAACTATTAATGAAAAAATTTCCAGTAAATTGCATCACCTTGAAAATTTGTATGGATAACTTGATTGTTCTTTTTTTTTTTATAAAAGTTAAAATAAAAGAATATTACACAAAAATAAAATATGAAAAATGTTGAGGTATATGTATTTAGACATATATTATGCTTCATACTATTTTTATAAGTTTATAATATATATAATTATTATAATAATATATTATTATAAACTGATGAAAAGGATGCAAAAAAAGATTCAAATTTTTAAAACTATTTAAATAAATATTGTTTAATATTTTGTATAATTTAAAATTATTACCATAAAATCTGGTGTTTTCATAGAACTGTAATCTAACATAGGTGTAACTTGAACTTTGGAATTGTTAATTGTAGATTCTGATCGTATCCTGCGGATACTTCTTGGAGTACTTGTCTTGCTACCAAACTTATTTGGTGTAAGAGCAGATTTATTTTTAATATTACAGCTGTAAGATTGATCATTGTGTATATGAAATTTTATTGGAGTTTTTTCTGCAGATTCTACAAGAGCGTCGTAAGAATTGTTTATTGAATTATCTTTAATACTTTTTTGTGGACTAAAATTTAGTGATTGCCAATCATTGTAGTCCATCCAAGGATCATCAATAATTTGTTCATTTTCTTTTGCATTATGAATGTCACTAGTTTCTTTATTAGTGATATCAAATATTTCCTCGTTTTTTTTTAAGTTAACTATTTGATTAGACAAGATGTTTTGTTCATTGAATTCATTTTTCATGTCTGAATAAATTTTGGGGTTAGATTCCAAATCAAAAAAATGTATATCTGATTGTATCATACTTGTTGATGAAAGTTGAGGACTTTGTGTTGATATCTTTATTATATCTGAAGATTTAAATTTTTCTTCATAATTACTTCGTGCTGCAGAATCAATTTTATCTGTAGGAACATTATTAGAAATTAAAGATAAATTAAAAGTGTCTTCAAAATTTAAATTATTTATCTTAATCATTTCAGAGTTTGAAAAAGAATTTTGCAATAAATTTGTCTTATTTGGTGATATCAATGTAACATCTTTCTTAGAGTTATTAAGTTCAATGACAGAAGTTTTGGAAAGAATGTTTGTGGCTGAAGAAAATACACTACTAGCATTATTAATATCTATTACACTTAAATTATCATTTTGAGATTTTGTCATTATCAAAGAATTTTTATATTCTTGATCTAATGATATTAATGGTATTTTTAATTGATTACTATTCTTTAGTAAGATATTGGTAGCAATAGAATCTGTACTACTATCATCATTGAGCTCAATGACATTTGAAGTTGAAATTTTAGATTCTTTTTCTGTTAAGGCATTTAATTGTTTTTGATATGTATTAGTATTTTGCAATAAAACATTTAATATTGTTGAATTATGAACATTTTTACTTGTGAATTTACAAGGTGATATTTTTTTTGGTATTATATTAGTAGCCATTGAACAGATACTATTTGAATCATTTAAATCACATATTACATTTTTGTCAGAACTAGATAATACATGATTGGAAGACTTTATTTTAAATGGGGATGGATAAGAATTATGTTTTGAAGTATTTGTTTTTGTTAATATGTTAGTAGTGTCAGAATAAATTGAATCATTACTACTTACATCGTTCAATTCAAATTCATTTAATACATTTACGGTTTTTTTGGTAATTAAAGGATTTGATAGAATTAATTTGTTTTCAGTATTGAATAACTTTTTTGGTGGTATTTGATTTTTTACAATATTTTGTGATAAAATATTTGTATTACACGAATGAACTGAATCTAAACTACCATCATCATCTATTAATACTACTAGTGAATCATTATTCAGTTTTGGTTGATGAGTGGTATGTTCATGAATATTTAATTTATTTGCTTTACTTGTATTTAGTTGGTGGTAGGATGAAGAATAACAAGGAATAGTTAAATTTAATTCCTCACAAGACTTGTGAACCTTAGGTAATACATTAGTAGATAAAGATCCAATCGAATTTTCAGTGTCACTATCAATTGTAATAACATCAGGGCTAATTTTTATGTTTTGTAGTTCTTCTGGTTCTTCATCCTCTGATTTGTTTGAAGAAAATAATTCAATAGAATTACTATCTTGTTTCTCAATTTTATTTAATTGCTCAGTGTCTAAATAAATATCTGCAGTAGAAGCACTATGGAATGAATGACAAGGACTTTGTTCTAAATGAAGATTTTTTTGTGAATTTTCTTTAGAAAAATTTTTTTTTGTAGAAAATAAATTATCTGGCTGCTGACTCTTATCACAATTGTTTAACCACCAATTTAAAAAATTTGGAGAACTGGAAGAAGATTTTACAATATCATCTGATGTAAACATTTCTGGACTAGTGGCTTTAAATCTTTTACAAATACACATATTATTGAAGTCAGTACTTTTTCGTTTGTAAGAATTTTTTTGACTGTACATAATCTCATCTACTTCTTCATCATTATTAATCTCCATTAAAACATCATATCTTTTTCTTAAATTTAAATAATCTTTACTATACTTTGAATTCTTTAATGTCTCTTTACCAGAATAAATTAGTTCTAAAAATGCAAAACATGCTTCATATTCATATTCAAGCCACATTATAATTTTCTTAGTTTTTCCATTGTTACTTAATGTTGGATCTAAGATTATATCATTCAAAATAGATGGACATTGGACATGTAACACTAAGATATGAGCTGAAATTTCTTTTTCATCTTTAGTATATATTATGACATCACTCATGAATTGGTTGTCAACCATAGATTTCCATTTATAAGACAGTTGGTTTGATAAATTACTTTCAGTTAGCAAGAAAGCTTGAGATTTGTTTGTAGCGACCTTTTCTTTTCTTACACATTTATTTGTTAAAATTTGTTCATGATTAACCACATTTATATGTAAATTTGTTTCCTGAAAATAATGCAAACATATTTACATAGCATAATATAATCACACCAATGAAAAATATTCAGAAATACCAATTCATATACATAGAAAATAATTACATGATTAGGACTTTTCCATTTCCCAGGTATTTGAGAGACTTCTTTTAAAGAACTTCCAGCATCATTTTCATGGGGTGGAATGAATTTTGATAAAACAGGTACATAAAATTCTGAAACAACTTCGTTTTGAAGAGAGGCCTTTTCCCAAAGCAAATTTTTCTGTTATCATAACATAAAAATTTAGATAGATTAATTTCTTAATAACGTGTGCTAGGTAGTGTTGCTTAAATTACAAAAGTTTAATTGATTTAATTATTACTTAAACCTATAAGGATTATTAAATAGAAACTACCCCAGATATGTTTGATCTACAAAGGTGTAATCCTTCAAAATTAATTTAACTCTTATATTTTTTATGGCCACTCGATATTATATTTTATTACTAATAAAAGTGTGAAATATATTCTCGTAATTAAAAAATGTTAACATACATTGTATAGTGAGGATTAGACTAAATAGACTCCCAAATAGATTGAAATCTATTTGAGACTCCAAGTTTTAGCTTCGATGAAAAGCTAAGAAAATATTAATTTTACAATGATGTGTTTTTTTTATATGTCTGTTGCCACTTTTTCTCAGCTCTCACTGAACTGATTTCTTTCAACAATACATCAAAAGATTACAAATCGTATCTAGTTGAAGGCATTACCCTTAAAAATTTTCTCTCGTTGCCCGCAAATGGATGAAATATCCAAAAAAATTACAACTTTAAAAATCGATAAATTTTGTCATTTTTTTTTCTTAAAATTTCGATAACTTTTTCAAAAATTAACAAATCAACATATATTATTTATATTAAAACCTTAGATATTTCCCTTTCATTTGATATCATTTTTTTGGAAATCTAACAATTAACCTGCTCACAGGGGGGGATTTTAAATAGCAACTTTTTTACAAAAACTAACTTTTTCAACTTAACTTTTGAAAATGTTCCGGAAACACTGCGTCCTTTAAACATATATTAAATGAAAGCTTATGTTATGTACTATAAAATGAAAAAAAAAAAAATTGTCCAGACACTTTATCTTCTGCATGTAAACAGCTGCCGTAGTTAAAAAAATGCTATTTTTGTGTTAAAATTTTCAACTTAAAAATGCTATAACTTTTTGAAAAATATTTGTATCATCACAAATTTTTTTTTCTTTTAAATACATTATAAGTATATCTTTCATTTGACATAATTTTTATTAAAATTGGACAATTTCCCCTTATATAGGGGGCGTTCAAAACTTGAAACATTGTATAAAACATAGAACTTTTTCAACTGAACTTTTGAAAATGTTCCGGAAATACTGCGTCCTTTAAACATATATCAAATCAAAGGTTATGTTATATACTATAAAATGAAAAAAAAAATTTGTCCCGACACCTTATCTTCTATGTGCAAATGGCTGTCGAAATTAAAAAAAAATATAATGTTTGCGATAAAAATTACCTGATATTGGGATGTTTTTTGTACTTAAAACTGCCATAACGTTTTCAAATATTAACAAATCAAAATAATATTTTTTTATATTGAAACCTTAGATATTTCCCTTTCATTTGATATCATTTTTTTTGAAAATATAACACTTATTCTGCTCACAGGGGGGATTTATATTAGTAACTTTTTTACAAAAACTAACTTTTTCTACTTAACTTTTGAAAATGTTCCGGAAATACTGCGTCCTTTAAACATATGTCAAATTTATCATGTGATATAAAATTAAAAAAAAAATTTGTCCTGATGACCTATCTTCTATGCGCAAATAACTACCGTATTCAAAAATATGGTATTTTTGTGTTAAAATCCTGGGTTTTGTATTTTATTTTATTTTAAAAATACACTGACTTTCATGAATATTTTATAATTTAATTGACATAGAATAAAGTTCGTATGACATAAGAAATTAAACTTATTTAAATTTTTTTTTGCTTTTTTAAAGTTGAAAAAGTAATTTTTAAATTTGAGTTAGCATAAATAGCCAATTTTATCAAGCAACGAAAGCAACGAACAGTTGTCAAATCGGGAACACTTGTGTCGTTCACGCTTTTATTTTATTTTAAAAATACACTGACTTTTTTGGGTATAATTAAGGAAATAAAAGTTGATGTTGATTTTGTAATTATCCATCAATTTCTTAGAATTAAACACTATCTATAGAATTGCATCGAAGCGTTTCCTATGATAGTGATTTTAATCACTGTCAGATTAAATCTATACTGGACTCAATTATGCAACGTCCCCACTATGCTTCGACCCTACTGTGCTGGGTTTTTTTTTTTTTTTTTGTTTGTATACGCTCAATCTCAGCTCTCGTTGGACCGATATTGGTGAAAAATATGTCAAAAGATCACAAATCGTATCTAGTCGAAGAGATTACCCTCAAATTTTGAAAAAAATTCCCTCATTCCTCGTAAACGGGGGAAACCCCCCAAAAAATTACAAATTTAAAAATCGCTAATTTTCGACATTTTTTTAAATTTTTTTTTTACTTAAAATTGCCATAACTTTTTTTAAAAATGACCGAATCAATACAATTTTTTTTTATTGATACCTTAGGTATTTACCTATAATTTTATATATTTTTGTGAACATTTGATCCTTTACCAGCCCACAGGAAGGGTTTCAAAATGGTAACTTTTTCACAAAAACTTTTATTTTACATTGTAATTTATTAATTTTTTTACTCTATTTGTGTGTGCTACTACTAGACTATAATATTCCAAATTTGTTGGTAACATGTTGCTATATAAATAATTTCTAAAAAAAATGATTGTTAGTTTCTCCTGAATTAACAATGGATTTTTACAATTATAATCAAATTTTATAATACGCTCAATTGAGTAAATCTTTTTAACAACCTTGTTTTGATTGGTTCTTTTAGTTAAAGTAAATCATTAAAATTAATTGAGTTCTGTATATTTCAATTGAAGAATCTGTTTAAACACCAAAAGTTAATTATAAATGATTACTACGAGTTTTATTTAAGTGATTTATTACGATAAAAATGTAAGAAAATATCGAACTTTTCTGATAAATTTACTGTAAATAGTAATAATATAATTTCCTGACTGCATATTAATCTTAACAATTTCATTTTTTTATTTAATAATGTTAATTTCAAACTTGCAAGTTAAGCTAAAAGTTATGGTAATAAATTCATTTTTTTGTTATTATAAACTTTCACTTTAAAGGACGAAATAAAGAAGGTTAAAAATTATTACTTTTAACATATTAAAAATCAATATCAATAATAATTTGAAAACAATTCAATATAACAGTTATATAATATATAATTTTATATTATATTTTTGAATCTAAGAATTACTAATCTGGATATAATTAAGGAAATAGTTGATGTTGCTTTTGTAATTATCCATCAATTTCTTAGAATTAAACATTATCTACAGATTTGCATGGAAGCGTTTCTTATGATAGTGATTTTAATCCCACTGTGCTGGGTTTTTTTTTTATAATTTTAATGAAAATTTTACAAATTTTAACTTAAGCTTCTAAATACTTAAAGAAAAAGTTGTTGGGACAATTTTTTTATCAAATCTTAAAATAAATTTGAAAAGTATATGTGGTATAGATGTAAAAGGCATAGATATTTGAGAACATTGTCAAAATTTGAATAAAAAAAAGAAATTTGTATAAAACTGTTGCATTCAGTTTTTATTTATATATAAAATTATGGATAAATTTTTATAGAAAAAAAAAAAAAATGATCAATTTACTGTAATTTTACATACTTCAAAGAAGTCCATTTAAGGTCAAATTAAGATGGGTGTCATACTAAAATTGTTAGACAAAGAAGTTTACAAGTATTATTAATAAGTTATAATTTTTCAGAATAACATTATAATAAAAATTTGAATTAACAAAAAATAGAAAAAATTAACTAATTTAATAGAACTTACTTCATTTCTTATACTTTTCAAGTACATAGATTGTACAGTCTTAAAATTATGTTCATTTAGTATAATAGATGGAGTAGGATCATTTTCTGAATCTAATAAAATTATAGCCACTTTTTCTGTGATTCTTCTTTCTTGATCTTCCTTCGATTCTTGAAATAATTTAGTGTTATGCATATTACCTGCAAAAATAACTAATTAAAACAAGTTATTATTAATGCCTACTACCAATTTTATTATATACTTTTTGATTTCCCTTTGACAGAATGATTTGTCATAAAACCAAACACTTCCAAAGTTTTTTGTTTTTCTAATGCTTCATTTTCTAGTCCTGCTTCAAATAAATTTTCAGATTCTTCCTGAATTTGAGCAATAGTAGACTCTTGTAATGATAATGACATAGCTATAGCTAAATTTAAATTGGCATCATTTTCAACCTAATGTGGAATAATTTCAGTACTATTTTTTATCAATTCATTTATAAATAAATTTAATTACTTTAATTTTGGTTTGTCTTTTACTACCAGGTTTTTTTTTATTATCTGGTTTTTTAACAATTAAACTTGGTAGACCTAATGCTTTTCTTTCTGCATCTTGGCGTTCTTGAAGATCAACTGCTTTTATAACTAAATCAGATGATATATTATTAGTTGTACCACATAACTTGACATGACTGATGAAATTTTTTTCATCAATAAATTGAGAGCAAAGAGGACATTGTTTTTTTAAGGATTCAGGCACAATATGATGCATTTCTAGATTTTTATTTGAATTTTTAAAAATGGTTTGAGATAATTTTTCTCCTTGTGTTTGAGTAGAATGCATAATTTCAACAAAACTATCAGTTTCTGATAACATGCTATTGTTTGAACTGGACTGAGCTTCGTTAGGTTTTTTTACATTGGTTACAGTAGTATTTTGACTAAAGTAAATTTAAATAAATTATTGAACAAAATTTTTGTGAAATAATATATTAGAAAAATATTAACAATTACCTAATTGTATCAATTGAACTGGAATTATTGTTTTTTTTTAACTTTAAGGATTTAAGTAATTTAGTTTGAGAAAATATATTCATCTTTAAAACTAGTTTTATTACTATAAAATACACTATGTGTTCAATAAAAAAAGTACATGAAAATCTTAAACTTTAATAAGTTCTGGAGGATCTTCTTTTCTATACATAATTTCAGCTTTTTTCATCATAAGATCTTTTTGATCAGGATTTAAATTACGTCGAAACAATTCCATTCGGTGCTCCTGTTCTGCTGTACGGTCAAACATACCATTTTGAATACGTTCTTTTAATTTTTTGGTAGGTGGAAGTAAACTAGAAAAATGCAATCAAATTGAAGAAAAATGTTTAAAAATCTTATTTTGAAAGATATCTTTATAATTTAAAAATTGTTAAAACTAAATTAGTTCTGGTAGGAAATTATATTGAATATATACCTATACTTTAAAAATAAAGTATAGGTATAGATTATGCTATTAGAAATTTAATTCTAAAATTCAAAATATAGTTAATATTTAAGTTTCATTAAATATAACTTTTGAGGTTTAAAAAAATGAATGGTGTAAAAGTCACTTGGTAATATAAAATATTTGATCTACAATGTACACATAAAACAAAAAATAAAAACTTACTCATAAATTAACCAAGATAATCCACTAAAAGCCAATGTACCAAATACAAATATGTTGCGATACTTGTAAGCAGGAGTGCCCCTTACTTGCCTAGGTTTTCCAGAATTTCTAGTTTCTATGGCCATTTACGAGACCACCAAATAATTCATCTTAAAATATACAATTTTACACATTACTATGTGTAATATTAATTAACCTTACAATATAGATGGCTAATTTATTAGACTAACAATTAAATTTTAAGTATTGAATCATGTATCATCACATAAGGAATAAACCAAAACATACTTAGTAGTGAATAAATCAAGAATTATATATAACTTAAATAAAAAAAATTCTAAGAAGACTGTTCTCCTGAAAAATCAAGTTATTTAAGATATAAAATTTAAAGATGTGAGTAATTTATTATGTCACATTGATACAAAATTTATTTGATTGAAATGAAAACTAATTATGAATTTTTGAATCTACTTTAAATTAAAATACTTTGTTTTTTTTTTAATTGAACAATATTTTAACAATAGTCTCAATGGTCAAATTATTTAAAACTGACATTTTCTACACTTAAAATATATTGATAATAGTAACCACTAATACACATAGTGTGTGGACATAATTGAAAATTCTTTAAAATTATATTAAATAATTAGAAAATGAATCTTTATAAGTTAATTAATAAAATTATCTCATTACAATAAGGTACACTATTTTTTTTAATGTTTTGTATATTATCTTTTTTATTTTGTAAATTTACTTTGTGTAAAAAAAATAAATTATAACATAAATTAACATTACTTTAAGCTTACCAACTTTCAGTTATCAATTATTATTAGATATGGAACTTTTAAATATATTATAATTGATTTCTTTACTCCAATAACTAAAATAATATGAATTAAAAATTAAATAATATAATTTCGGTTATTAAATCTAAATAGTAACTTCAATAAGGGTTTTTAGGGCAACAGTAAACAATTTTTTTTGTATCTCTTGTAGAATCAGAAGAAAAAATGTTTAGAAAAAGTGTTATATGATATTTGATAAAAAAGTAAATGATAAATTGTGTAATTATTGTTAAATGCAAGTCGGCCATGTTTTTAAAACTCTGGTATTAATGTTTTTTATTTTTAAATCATATATAATTTTCGAAGCCTAATTCAGGTAATTATAAAAAAGAAAATTTCTTAAATGTCATATTAAATAGCAAAATTTTTAATAAATATATATTAACATACCTGTTTTTCAATATTTTTGTTATATTTAAATTTCACTGCGATTTTATTGTGTCACCAAAATCAACTATGATATCGTTTAATCTGAAGACATCATAATATAACTGACGTTGTAATCGGAAAAATTGTCCTATAGAAAATTAGTGATAATGCTGAGTAAGAATATAGTGTATAATACCGGTACTTACGATTATCCGAAATGTCTTTCTCATAGTAATGTTTTTTTAATACAGATCAATAAAACGATTCAAAATTTATATTTTAGATAAATATCTGCAAGAGGAAACAGTCAAAGATTGAAGACATTTTAGATAATCTCTATTATTAATAATTAAAATTCATTTGTATTGTTTAAAATTCTTTATTATTGTATACCCATAAAAAAGTGTAAATTATATATATATATATAGATATATAACCATAAAAATGTCTCAAGATACTATACAAACACTGATAGATATGGGTTTTCAAAAAGAAAAAGTGTAATTGAAATTTTTTGATTTTGAATTATATTTACTAGTTCTAATATTAATTTGTGAATTGATTATAACTAATTTTAGAGAGAAAAGTGTTTCAATGACTGGTAATCAAGGTGTTGAAGCAGCAATGGAATGGTAAGGTCAAAATAACCAAGTAATATTTTATTATTCTGGCAAGGGACGAGTTAGAAAATGTAATTTTTAAATCTTCTTTGTATTCAATCCTGAGATTGGTTTGTAGCAATTTTTCACTCTTCCCTTTTTGTTTCTTCGTAAGAATTACAGCCTTGGTCTTTAATTATTTATTTCATATACTATATTCCATTCGTCTTCCCCTAGCATTTTTACTTTTTATGAAGCTTTCATTAATTTATCTTAGCAACCCATCATGTCTCAATTCATGTCCAATCCATTCATTTCTCAGTTGTTCTCTCATTCTTTTTAGTACTTCCTCATTTTTTACCATATTCATCAAACCCTATTTTAAGCATTATATTGTAATACCATATCTCAAAAGCTTCAATTCTTCTTGTTCCTCTTTGACAATTGTCCATATTTCGCTACCATACATCATTATACTCCATACATATGTCTTCAGAAGATTTATCCTGGTGCGTTTGCTGATATCTCTTGAAGTAAAAAGTCCTATTTTTGTTAAATGATATCTTAACTTGGCATATTCTCTTTGTTATTTCTATTATACTTCGGCCATCTTCATTTATTATGCTTCTCAAATATGTGAACTCTTCTACTTGCTCTATTGCTAGTTATTTTGCAGATGTCTTCTTGTCCTAATATTATTGTTCCTGTTACATACAAGAACTTTGGTCTTTTTTGTATTTACTTTCATGTTCAGTTCATTGAGTAGAATTTCTTCCATACATCTTAGAATCTTTGCAATTCTTCTTGTTTTCAGCTATTACTGTTATATTATCTGCGAACCGTAGCAAATTAATTTGCCTGCCATTTATCTTTATTCCCAAATATATAATATAAGTCCCAAAAACTACTTTTTACTTATTACTTTTATAATAAAATAAACTTTTCTTTTAATGAGTTTTGAGAATAACGATTGAATTTTTATAAATAGGCTCTTAGCACATAATGATGAAAATGAGCCCTCAACTTCTCAAAGTAATAGTAATGCAAGTAATACCTCAGTTCCAAATGCTTCATCATCATCATCTATAGCGAAATCATATAAATGTGAAGAGTGAGTGTATTATTATTATTTAAATTTAAATTTAACTGTAAAACTTATATAAATTTAATTATTAGTAGCCTTTAAGAAATTTTATATTTGTGCTGTGAATTATTAGTTTAAATTTAAGTGTAGTTATAATAGTAATTTATATCTTACTTTTTTTAGTTGTAACAAGCTATTTGTTGATACAACTGCATTAGAATATCATGCTATGAAATCTGGCCATAGTAATTTTTCAGAATCGACCGAAGAAAAAAAACCATTAACCGAAGAAGAAAAAAAAGAGCAAATGAAAAAATTGGAGGAAAGATTAAAAGAAAAGCGTAGAGAGCGAGAAATAAGAGAGAAAGAGGAAGAATTGGAAAGAGAAAAAATGAGAATTCGTTCTGGAAAAGAGTTAGCTGCTGCCAAAAAAAAGTTAGTTATTGCTATAAGAATAAGTAGTTTTTACACTATAATTAAAGCTTAGAAATTTCCTTAAAAAATATAATTATATTTTAAAGATCTAAATTTCCCCTTAGTTGAAAATTAAACAAGAAAAAATTGTAAGTATTCATTTTTTTTTATCAATATAAAAATTTAAATGTAAAATTAAAAATACTAATTGTAAACTTCAATAAAAGTAAAAGTTCATTGTTTTTTCTAAATTTGTATCCTAACTTTTTGTTAAAATATAATTTTAATTTATTTTAAAATGATTCTTTCAACTATTGAGTAATATATTATTATCTAAAGTCTAAATTAATCTAACTACTAAAGTCTTTTGTTTAACTTTATTGAGGTAATTAGTTAACTGTTTACAAAATTTAATAAAGAAAAAAGTTTACCAATTTAATATAAATTCTAAATATTTGTAGAAAATTATTAAATTTATGAAAAGATATATAGTAAACTCTAATAATCCTATTTATCATATCTTTGTAAAAAATGAAACATACTTTTGTTATGTGTGTATTATTAATACATTAAAATATACATTTTTGTTCTGTAGGCTTGAAGATGAAAACATAAAAAAGATAATGGATGAAAGAAAACGTGAAAAACAAGAAGAAAAAATAGCTCGAGAAAGAGTAAAAGCTCAGATTGAAGCAGACAAGTTGGCTAGAAAAAAAATGTTTGGGTCAACTTCCGGGGAAGAACAAAAGCCAGTTAATATTCAGTCAACAGTTGCAAGTTCACAACAACAATCTAAAATTTACACTGAAACTAAACTACAAGTAATTATAATAGAAATTGGTTACAACTAGCTTTAAGGGACAACAATTTTGCTTGTTGTATTCATTTAAAATGGGTGCACATTATAAATGGATAATGATAAACACAAAAAATAAATACTTTTACTACACTAGGATGCGAATAATTTTTGTTTTCATTTATTCATAGTTGAATAAATGAAATGATCTTTATTTTGAAAGAAAAAAAAATAGGAGATTTATTTTACACCCTTTATAAGTGTAGTTACCATTCATGTATTGGTATGATTTTATATATGGTTGAATTATAATTAATTTCTTTTATAAACATTTTTATAAAAATAATAAAAAATTAATAACTTCAAGAAGCGTTTAATGTAGCCTAATTATATTTTTATCAGATACAAAACAACAATTAAATATTACAAAAAAAATGTAACTACTATGTATTTTTTATAATTAGTGCACAAAATTATATGTATTTTTAATTTTTGTTTGAACTTTTTTAAAAGACACAAGTTTATATAAATTATAAACTTTTTTATTTTCTACTACTCATTATATTACAATCAATATACTTGTTAGCCTAGCGCTTTAGACAATAGCATATTTTTGAAAAATATGCTTATTGATATACTTAATATTAATTTATATCGGAATACTATTGTTACAAATATATTTTTGTTACATATTTCATCATTTTTTTCCTATTTTGCATATTTGAACTTTTATTGACTGTACTTAGTTAATGAATAATAATAATCCTTTTATAATTTTCGTTAAAAATATTTTTATTTGACATTCTATTCACTTTCTTTTATAAAAAAAATAGTATAGTAGTAAAATGCATAGGCTTCTTGTATATAGTTGTAATTGATAGCAGTAAAAATCCTGATAAATAAAATTTTATAATTAACCAAATTTTTATTGTAGATTCGCCTTACAAATGGTCAAACTATAGTTCAAACATTTAATATCAAAGAAATGCTTGCTGCTGTTAGAGTTTATGTTGAATTAAATCGTACTGATGGTGAAGCACCATTTTCACTTATGACAAGTTTTCCAAGAAAAGTTTTTACAAATGAAGATTATGAAAAACCTCTTGATCAACTAGGTAACTAAGGTCTATGCATTTAATTATTTTTTGTTTATTAAACAAATATAAATTTAATAAGCTACAACAATACAAATTAATGCAAAAGTAAGTAATTTATGTTCAATAACTAATGCAGAGGCCATTCTTAAAAAAAAAAGGCTTAATATTAGTACATTTTGTTTAGGCTTGGTTCCAAGTGCTGTTCTCATTTTGACTAAACCAGTTCAATAAAAAAGAAAGACACAAGATGGTGGATCTGTTTCGAACATTAAGATTCATTTAATTATAATTAATGTCTTTTAAATAAATTGTCTTTTGTTAATAGTGTCAATGAAAAATAATAATTTTTATCAAATTAAAAAAATTTAAACATAATGAACAGTTTTAAAATTTTAGTTTTTTTTTTTTTTTATATGACTGATGTAGCATAGTGGGTCATTCAATTGCTACTTTAGCGCTGATGTTCAACTGCACGTTTGCTGTAAATTCTTAGATGGGTAACGACACTGAAACTTTAACAATGATACATATCTAGCCCTCATACAAGTTCCCTGAACTATAATAAGGTGGGTTTGTTGACAGCCAGTGTAAAATCCCATCAAATTGCTAAGGTAGAGTCAATCCAAAATGGTTTGGATAGAAAATTATGGTGATAATGAGTTAGAGTTTTTAATTACAATTGATTAATTAACTATGTCTTATCCAATATCTATTTTTTAAAAATATAAAATATAATTTTTTATTTTCAGTAGTTAGTAGTACTCTATCTCCTATAATTTTCAAAAAAAAAAAAATTTGGTTTTTTCTTCTTTAAGGCGTATTGACTAAAATTTTTTAAATGAAAACATGTATAACTAGCTTAAAAATAAGAAAATGACTGGTCAATAACAATTTATGATCCAGTATTTTAAATATTAGAATTTTTACACTAGAACGGGAGTAGTTTAATTTGTATATACAGGGATAAAAATAAACAGACCTGCTTTATTCTACCAATCCTATTAAAAAAAGGCTAATAATTGACCAGTAATTTTCTTATTTTTAAGGTAATTAAAAATATATGTTTCCATTTAAGACTTAAGCTGATACTACTTTAAAGGAAAAAGAAATTATATATGAGCTATCCAATTTTTTTTTAGCCAACATTATTCTTAATAACTAAATAGTTACAGTTATTAATTAGTAATTATAAAAGTAATTTTTCATTACTTATAAAGTAAACTTCATCAATTTTAAGTTATATGTTAAAAAAACAAGAAAATAATACATTTAATATTCTGCTACTTGTATGATTTAATTGGATTGAAATTAATGTTGCATTATCAAAAAACTTTCTATAATATATTAAATGAATTACCACATCTGCAATGAAAATACTAGGATAATATTCCTGTTATGATTTGCTGTCAAATATTAATCTTTTCAAAAAATATAAATCAAACAAGTTTAATATACAGGCCATTTTATTAATTAAAAATGTGGATAATAAAGTACCTATTATTTTTACAAGTAAAAGTATTTTAGGCTTATTGGTAAAATATAGTATTTACAAAGCCTAAATATTTAAATATTTTTAACAAACATGTTAAAGACAAAAATAAATAAAACAATATCAACAATGAAAATTAAATAAAAAAAGAAAAGAAAAAAGAAAGATTTATGTTTTTAATAAAAATAAGTTAATTTTGTAATTTATTTATGTTTAATTCATCACCATTTTCTAGCAAGTCTGTTGTGCATATTTTTGGGATATGAACTCTCGGCAAATCTCTTAGTTCTGCTTTTTGTTTATGAGTTTGACTCACATCTTTTCCAATACAACCAGCTAATATTTTCTTGAGCATATCACGTTTACTTTTATTAACTTTACTATTAACTGGATCAGAACTTAATACCCATTTGTCAAAACGATCTAATGTATCTAAATTTATTTCAGGTAGTTTTCTAAAAACTCCCAAGAGTTGATCATTTTTACAACGGAAAGTCTCATAAACATATAAACAAGTAACTAAGAGTGGACCAACATTTGAATCATGATGTCCAAACCAATGAAGACTTTCTAATATAGCTATTAATAAATCAGGAGCAATAATCATTGCAGACCTTTCGTCTTCTACTATTAATTGTTTCACAACTAATTGAGTGAGACAATTTGCTTTGAAACTAGATTGACTATCACTCCAAGGTGGTAAAACTGGTCTGTTGTCCCACTGAAAAATTTGACATGTTTTCCAAAATTGACTAATAGAAGAATTCCAAGACAATCCACTAAGAATACTTTCAACAATTAATTGTCTTGATTGTTCATTCCTTAAAAGCTTTATACCTAACTCAGATATATCATTATTAGATTGAACTACTGATATTTCTTCTGCACTTCCATGTGGACTTGTCTTTGAATCATTAGAAAAAGTTAAACATAATCTTATTAGTTCTAAATATTCTCTAGTTAATAAACGTATTATCATATCCTCAATTAGCTCTTCAGAATCCCCTTCTTTAGAATCATAATTTTCCTCCCTATCAGGTATGTTTTGCCATGTAATACTTAAACGTATTAGCATATGAGATAAGAATGAATTTAAAATAGGAATTAGAACTGAATCATAAAACTTGTTTGAACAATTAATGAGAAATGGTTTGATAAAATTCTTCATAATAGTTCTTATACGAATATGGGGTAAAGATTCTGCATTATTCATTATAGTTGCTATAAAACTAGGAGCAAAATTTTGTAATGCATAAAGATTTTCTCCAAGTAAATGACATGATCTTCCTAAAACTAATAAACAATTTTCATAAACTGTTAAAATTGAGTATTTTATTTTATAAATAGGGTCAGGTTTCTGTTTTTTTTTGAACATTTGAAATGGATCATTTTTTTCTGAAACAACATTCTTGCCTAGTAATGTGTCACGTTCTTGAGGAAATATTTGAAATATATTGTTAAAGCTAGGATGCATACGTTTATTAAAATTATTAGAACAAAGGGAATTGAAATTTTTTATGAGTAAAAATATATTTGGAAGTAATAATAACACAGGTTCTGTTACAGGAGAAATAAATGGCAAATTTGATAAATTTGAAGATTTTATATTGCTTCTGGTCATAACACTGGTTAATACATTAACACAATGAATTAAATGATTTCTATTTTCTATGGACACATTTGAGTCTAAATCAACATGAGGCCTATCGAGACCTAAATAGACTAATAATTCTTCTGGTCCACCAGACACAACAGCTTGTATTTTTTGCCACATCAATTGACATGGTTCCAAAATATGCTTAATTAGTTGAACTTGCTTATCATATTCTGGAATATGATTGTTGAGTACTATAAGTGCTTCTTGCACACGTAAACAAATGTTAAGATGATCTCCAGCTTTGCTGGTTTTAATTAATAGTTGATCGCTTAATGAACATAATTTATCAAACACTGGTAATAAAAGATTTGGAAATTTAACACTAAGTTTAATAAACAATGATGCTGAATGAAACCTTAGGTCTTTGATTGGAACATAAAGTTGATCTTCAGGATGACATTCAAGTATTAAATATTCATACATCTTATTAAGAGTTGCATGTAAATATTCAGATGGCCATGAAGTAGCAGTTAAAAATATGAATAATGCTGATACTGATGAAAGAAGAAATGATAAAATTAAAGGATCTTGTGTATCGAATTTCAAACAGAGTTCAATTAATTTTAAACCTTTTTGAACAATTTCAGAATCTAATGTCATTAACAATTTGCTAACAACTCCATCTAAAATTAAAACAACAACTTCCCATTCTAAAAATTCTGGAGAATCTGATTCACAGATCGGAATTATTTTAATTCGTGTAGATGTCTTTTCTATACATGATTTGAGCAAATTTTCTGTAACTGAAAACATAATATCATTTTCAACAGCTGTAGCACATTTTATAGTTTCAATAATTTCTGCTCTGCAATGATAAAACACACCATTGTAACTCTCTTCGTCAGTAAAATCTAACAATGAAAATGGATCTAATTTTTTATAATCAGTCTTAATTAATTTCTTTGAAGATACCAAAAACCACTTAGGAATGAAGTTTTGTCTTAATGCAACATTTTTACTTATTTCTGGATGTTTAAATAATGTTCCCCACGCCTGATTTATATTTGAAACAATATTAACAGAATTATGACCTAAGAGAACAAGTAATAACTCTAAATAGTATAGTAAAATCTTTTCAGATTCTTCAGTACTAAAATTATGAAATTTGTTATCGTTCCAAAATCCACACAAAACTGAACTTAATAATGATATAACTTTTGATAATGTTTTTAAGAATATATTATTCTCATCATTAGCTTCCTGATTTATTGCTTTGAGTGTGACAATAGATAATTGATGTAAAGGTTGATCAAAAAATTTCATAACACATTCCTTCTCGTCATTTTTACATTTTCTTGATAAAAGAATTGATAAACACTCAATAGCTGGTTGCCTGAAATTAATATCTTCTATTAAGGAACACAGCACTGTTATTATATAACAATCCTTATATGCAACATGTGAAAGTTGTATAAATTCAAATAATTCACCAACATTAGTTAATGCTAATTGTATTACTCGTATTACTGTAGTAGCAGCATTTTGTTCATTTCTATTTAAATATTCCACATATTGTCTACAATGCACATCAATTACATTAAGAAAAAATGGAAATATTTTAGACATATTTTGTTGAAGTTCTTTACTAATATCTCTTCTTCTAGCAGCATTATCAACTGTTTGAAGTATGACTACATCTTCTATTAATCTCAAAAATATCAACATAACTGTTTCAGTTTGATAGAAACCCAAGGTAGTCGCATAATCTAGTTCATTTAACATTCCAGGCCAATGTTGGGGCCACTCTCTTTTTATCATTTCTACAACAACTCTAGCAAGAGCATCTTTAAGATAATTTATTTGTAAAGCAGGTGTAGCAGAATTTACCAGACTCATTATAGTGTTTTTAATTAGAACCTTGTCTTCTTGACTCATTTGATACCATCGAAATTTTATACAATGCTCCATTAATTGCAAACCAAAATGACGTACCATATCTGTATATGGTGCATTATCACTAGTAAAGTATAAAGCACATTGACATTGAATACATAAGGGAAATTCATTTTTAAAACTGTCACATAAACGATAAGCTTCATGACGCTTGTCTTGTGGCATTGATGGATTCATTGTAAGATCAACAGCGTTGGCAAGCTGCTGAACTACAGCTTCAATAGGCATGTCCACATTCATTTTCAATTTGAAGGAATCTGAAATAAGAAAACTAGTTTAACTTTTTAAATATTCTTTTAACAATATATAAATATCAATTGAATAAAATACAATTTTATAATAATACAAAAATTAAAGAAATCTTTAATTTTGACAATACAAAATCAGTTATAAAAAGTGTTCTAAAATTTAACCAAATAAATAATATATTTACATCAAAAATTAAATATTTTTATTAGAAAAATTAAATATAGTTAAATTTTAAACCAAACTCACATGTTTTTTAGTTCTTAAAAGTTTAGTTTTCACTGCCCATTATAGATTTCCAATTAGAAAATTTCTAAAATTAAATTTTAAAAGAACAGTATTAGAAAAAATTATTTTTATATTCATTCAATGAACGTAAAATATGAGGTGTAAATGTTCAAACGAAAAGAAAAATTAAAAACGTACCTATCCGCATGTACGGCCAACAAACGTGTTGTTATTTGTTATCATGAGATAGATGTTATAAAATAAACATCTAACTTAAAAAATATATAACCGCCAGTTATCAAGCTTATTTTCAAGGAGAATAAAAATAAATAGTACATTACAATAATAAATAAAGAGATAGCAAACTATTTTTATACTAGTAATAATAATTAATAATAATAAAAAATGAATAATGGTGACAATTTTAATGACACACTTTTTTTACTTGAACAAAAAATATTTATTCTGTAACTCCCGTTTAAAATTTGTGATTTTTAAACTAGATGGATCATCAGGTGTTAACCACAGTTATCTGTAGTTTACATTATCATATAATGATCTTACCACTTTTTAACTCAAGGCATAGATATGGAAAATAATATTATCTATATCTGTGCTCCAAGGTCTGTTACTATCGCTATTGATGATTCTTTTATTCATTTATTTATTCAATTGTCGTTGTATTATTATTATAGGTATATAAAAACATGTAGATACTCGCTATTATGTAATAAATAAATAAATATATGCATACATATATATTTAATATATAAATTGTAGCCCTCTTTATCTCGTTAAAAAGAATTACAATTCATAACTGAACGATTGGAATCTTTGTGAAAGAACTAGAGAATACATCAACTATTGTAAGCACTTAGTATTATGGGTGTGTATTGATGAACTAGTTAGTTGCTTATATCATATAGGAAATATTTTAAAATGGTTTATTTGTTAAATATTCTCTGAAACAGAAATTTATAATTATGTCAGTTTCTGAGTATACTAAGAGCAATAAAAATATAGTAGATGATACACATCCATTAAAATGTACAATTCTCAATACTAGAAATACTAATGGCTATACGGTCAGTATATATGAATAATTTTCTATAAATATTACAAATTATTTTTGTATAATCATTTATGTAAATAATATTTAGAATTAAATATAATTTTTTTGATTTAGGAATATGTAATAGAAGTTATTCGTATTAGTGCTGATAATTGTTCATGGAAAATATTTAAACGGTACAGTGATTTTGTTAAACTACAAAATGCTTTAAATAAATATTCCTCTAAAATTAATTTAGAGTTACCACCCAAAAAACTTATTGGTAATATGGACCGTAAATTAGTTATGCAGCGGCAAGATGCACTACAAGTAAACCATTTTTTTTTGTTTTTCTAAAATTTATTGTTCAAAAATATTTAGTAAAAATTTTATCATAACATTTAGTTTTTTATTCCAGAACTGTTTGAATATAATAGTTGAAAACATAATGCTTGCAAATACTTTAATGGTAAGAAGTTTCTTAGATCCAGAAACATATAAAGATTATTGCAAAGGTAAGTAGTTGTATAGTTTTTATTTTAATTTATGTACCTAAAAAATAATTAAATAATACATTTTTAATTATTTTATTCATAAAAAAATGTCATGTTATTGTGTAATAATTAATGAGTGGTATTTCATTCAAATTTTTCAAAAGTAAAATTTTTTAGAATAGTCAAAAAAAAAACAAGATATCTCATAAAACTATGATAGATATTATTAATTTTTTTATAAAATCATGAGTATAAATAGTACAATGAATGTCGTTATAATGGAGAAAATATGTAAATAGTTAATAATTATTTAAATACTATTTTATGAAAATATTTGCAGACACACGTTAGGGTATTGATTTGTTTTCTAATTAATATTTGTATTTTAATAGTATTAAAGTTTTAATATTTTATAAATATTCACATGTTTTTTATATCAATGATATTGTCCATTTAGTTTATACATGGTAATAATTGACTAATTTCAATCAGTAAATAATTTTTAACTCTTATATATTTATTTGAGTAAGGGATATATTTTTATTATTTAAAAAATGTTATAGACATATTGGTGCACCAGTTCAGAACTACAATACTTTTCTTCATATAATAAATTTTTATTTTTTAATTTTATTTGAATTAATGTTATGAATCCAAAATAATTCATTTTTTAAATTTTATTTCTCAACAAAGAATAATAAGTCCCACTGAGTAAAATTGTGTGGGATTTCGTAATTCTTATCTAGTACAATGTAATGTATTCAAAGTAATTCTGACATATGTATTAGATTAACATAAAGAGACTTTACAATTTAAGAGGATTCATTCATAAAATAATGATTATATGTTTTAAATTTTAAAATCAGTTTTGAAAATACAACTTTTTGTCTTTACAGAAAAATACACACGTTTTTTTTAACAAATAACTATTCATTTATATTATATTTGTACATTTTTTAAAATAGGATATAAACAAACAATTGAAATATTAATATTATATAATTTTTATAATTCAATTTACTATTGAATAATTTCTTTGTAAATAAGTGTGGTTTAATAAATTCATTGTTTTTATTATTATTTTTGGTTGAAAACTAATTTGAAAAATGACAAAATTTGAAAAATGAGTACTCTTTATGTTTTTTATTGACAGATGCATCAGCTTTAAAAATTTGAAAATAAATTTTAAAATCCTTAATAAGTTTGATAGCTTTTTGTAAAAGTAATATGAATAAACATATATCCTGTGTCTGATGAAGATTACAGGTGCAAACTTACCGTACTAATTTGTACATATACATATCAAGGAAAATCATGTATTGTAAAAATGATACACAAGACATAAGCTTTCAAATGAGTACCCTAGAGTTAAATAGGATCATTTATTTATTTTTTATGTTATCTTAGTGTATTTCATCAAATACTTTCATTAGCCTTCTCAGTTTCAATGCTAAATGCCAATGTTAACTTAAGAATAGTTTTTAATTATTTTATACAAGTTTACAATTTCAGATTTATGTTAATTAAATAAGTAGTTCAGTTATGCTCTAAAGTTAAAAATATAAAATCGAGAATTTTAACACAAAAATAGCATACGGTGGCCATTTTCACTATGAACTCAAAATAAAATCTGAAATTTTTTTTTTTTTCATAATAAAGTATAATACATTAGTATTAATTTAAGATATATATAAAAGTGTAGTATTTCCAGAACATTTTCAAAAGTTAAGTTGAAAAAGTAAATTTTTTGTAAACAAATTTTCATTTTAAATCCCTCCTTGTAACCAGGTAAAGGGTCAGATTTATAAAAAAAATATGCAAAAAGATAGGTAAATATCTCATGTATCTGTTAAAAAACGGCAGTGTTAAGTAAAAAATATTAAATAAATGTCGAAAAAATTTTTGGAAATTTCCGTCACTTACGGGGAACGAGAGAAATTTTTCAAATTTTGAGGATAATGTCTTCAAATAGATATAACTTGTGATCTTTTGACATATCACTGAAAGAAATCAGTTCGGTGTGAGCAGAGAAGAAGTGGTAACAAACAAAAAAAAAAACATAGTAAAATGAATACCTTTTCAGCCTCCCATTGAAGCTAAAAATGTTATTTGAAAAAAAATTTTTTTAATTATTATATGAAGTACTTATATATATTTCATAATTACTACATCCATTTACAGTATAATAATAATAAGCATCATATCTATTCTCATCAAATAATGGTTTAATACAATATGATTCGTTTGACATCACTCAATTTCTCTTAAAATAATAACTTTTTATGAATTTTTTTTGCTTTTATTCTATATTTCTATTTATCTATTATAAAATATTTTTTATGTTCATCCCTTATACTATATAAGGATCTCATTTTAAATTTTTTCAAATAGGAACATACATAATTATTGAACTAGTATCTCAGAAGCTATTAACATTTTTATACCTAAGTGGGAGGAAAAGTGAGGCTTTCTTAGTCTGTCTAGTCATAAAAATAGCAGCATCCGTGTCTTTTATGTTTAAAACTTGTATCAACTATATATTTTCAAATGGTAACCCTATTTTTTTTTTTTACACATTAGATTTAGTTTAATAAAAAAAAATATTTTATGTTATTTAATATTAAGTGCTCTACGGCTCTCTAAAGTTAAGGGTTTATTAAGAAAAAATTATAACAGACTCGAACGTTGTAGGTTGTTAATAGATAAGCGCTATTCTGACTTAATGCGTTGACACAGTAAACCGGTAGCTATTATCGCTATATAACATATTAATGTGACCGTGTTGGAAAAACTAATGAATTTTTTCATCAAACATTGTAAATTTTAAAATTTTGTATCTTATTTAATAGATTTTATGTTGGTATTATAAATAATATTGGGACAGAATTATTATAGAACTTTCTAATCTCCAAAATGTTTGTGTTTAATAAATATTTTTACAATTTTTTTTTAATTTTTGTAAAATCATACTTCGATAATTATATATGATATTCTTACTATATTTATTTACAATTTCACAAAATTCTACTTATAATTACAACAAAAATTTTAATTATTTATACTTTAATATTATCTTATATTCTTTTCACTAAATATTCCTTCAATATTACAGGCCAATGTTGGTATACAAGTTTTTGCAAAGTTGAATACTATATTCAACTTATAAAAAAAATTTAAGGACCCCTGAATTATTACATTTTATACTGTTTACTTTTATTTATTTCAATATTGTTTTAACTTTTGTGGCATTCTTTAAAGTTGTAAAAATATATAATCTCCCATTTTTATAAATTATAATCGATTACTAATTCTTCATTATTTTATGATTCATAATTTTTTTTTTTTCAGATTTTCAGTTTCAAAAGGTTGGCATGATTCTTAGAGGTAATAAAGAATTTGAGTTATTCAAAGAATTGCCTAGTATTGGTTGGCGTGTACGAAAAAAATCATTTTTATCCAAGTGGAAAAAAGATACAAAACAAGAATTTTTACTATCATGGACTGAGTGTGGCCCAGATTTAATTTTAAGACAACAAGATTTAAATAGTGTTCTTAAATCAATTTCTAGTATTATTGTAAGATATTAATAATTTTTTTTTATGGGTTTAATTTTATAGTAGTTCTGATAAAATCTTTTGTAGTTTTATTTTATGACTTCCTTAGCTACAATGAGGTTGTATCAGATCGATAGCCAGTGTAAAAATTTTGTCAAATTGTAAGGTAGAGGGTACCTCTAATATTTCGGATAGATCTAATGAGATGATGATAATTATTGTTAATATTAATGATCAGAATTTCAAAATTATATTAAAACTTTAATGTTCAATATAATGTTTATAACTTGAATATGTTTATCATTAAAACATACTATATTTTTAAAATTAATATGTTAATTAACTACTTTATTAATTTTTTGTTGTAAATATTTAGCACCCTCTTGTTGATGTTCCTGTTGTATTGCCGAGTCCTGAAGGATTTACTTTATCTATTCATAATATCCAAGTTGGAAGTTTAAGAGATCTTCTTTATCAAACAACACCATTACAACCTTTTTTAAAAAAGTATTGGGATATTTCTAATCATGTATACTTACCAGAACAAACTGTGATATCATATGTGAAACAAATACTATTTGGATTAAAATTTTTACATGAAAATCGCATACCCTATGGTTTGTTTAAAAATATTAAAATTATGCATTTTTTACAGTAAAGTTCTGATAATAATTTTAGGTCATTTACATTCTGGTAATGTGTTAGTCTGTGATATTGAAAACATAAAATTAACGGGTATTGAAAATAGTACAATGGGTTTGTCACCTTATTACCGTCCATTTTTGGTATGTCTTGGAAAAAAGCGTATCCAAAGTTTATGTGATGTGGATGTTTATGGATTTGGTCATATATTATATGAATTAACAGAAAACGAACCACTTTTGAGACCATCTTGTGAACATTTTTCTTTGAAAACTTCAATTAATTTTAGTAAGTTGTGTACTTGAATCACTTACATAACTTCTTGTTACTCTAGTTTATTTTTGTGATTATCTAATTATTTTTTACATTATAAAATTTTAGCCAAACAATTAAAAAATATTCTAGCACCATCTTCATCTAAATTACCTATGCCTAAAGTGAATACAGTAATTACACATTTAAAACATGCAAATATAATAGAAGATGAAAAAGATACATCTTTTTTTAAATGTAAGCTGCCAAATGTTGTTAAAGAGCAATATACTAGAATATCAGATCAATGTATGTCCAGAATATTTGAAGATCAAAAGAAAGTAATACTATTTAAAATATTATATTCATATTATCTTAATGTATTTATTTTATATCTTAATCATTAATACTATTTGAATTTGTGTAATGCTTTATTTAAGAATTTAAAAATATTATTGTGTTTATATTTGACTAAATTATACCATTTTATATAATTATTTAAAAAAGTAGTTTAGTTATAATTTAACTTGATTTAATTAAAATATATATATATAACTTACTGTAATATAGCTTAGTAGAGTTCAGTAAATTTAATTAAACCCTATAAAAATATTGATTTTGTTGCAATTAAAGGAACTTTTCATGTATAATTAATTATGACTGAAATGATTTTATTTATTTGCCAGCATTATTCCTTATTACAATCTTATTTTCTTTATAAACTGTACATATATATATTTTTTTTGTTAATTCTATAAATATGTAAGCAAACTTTAACCTGTATAATAATTTCATGCGTTTTCTTTCAGATATCTTTAGAAAAACGCCATAAAAAAATATATAAAATAATTCATGAGCCGGATAATCTTCCAGATGAAACAAAGTCAAAAAATTTTGTAAGTACAAATTTTAAATATTTTAATTATATACTGAGTAATTCTATTAACATTCAATTTCTTTTTGAATAATAATTCTATTAAATTACTTTTGGTATTTTTTAGTTTAATATATTTCTTGATTTAACAATAATTAATCCATTTCTTATTTCTTATAAGAGTGTAAACTTTATTTTTTTTTAAGTAGCAATATATATATTTAAGTAGCTTATAAAATCAAAAATTATCTTATTAAAAAAATGACTGGTTCATAACAACTTTTGGACCATTACAAAAACAGTTCATAACAATTTTATACATATGCGAGAAGAGAGATGCGCCCAAGAAATGTTTAATAATACCCGTAATAATTATCTTACCCGTGCCTCGCCACTAATGTATACTTTAAAATGATAATAACATCCAAAATAAGTGTCCAAAATTATTAACGACTAGTGTTAAATTCATATACTTTAGTCATAATTCATTTTCTGTATATTTTGACAGGAATTTTATTCAATTAAAAGTGTAAATGCAAATGAAAATACTGTTAGATCTGACAGTTCAAGTAGCAATAGTACAATTGCATCGTTGGGTTCTGATGTACCAACAAGTAGTGAGTGTATTGTTTGCGTTATTATTTTATTTGTATTATAAAATTAAGTTAATATTAAAATTATTAGTTATTTTTTTTATAGTTATTAGTTAATTAGCCAGTTTATTTTAAATATTTTTCTATAAATATTATCAATATTTCTGTTGATTCATTTAAAAATAGGATTCGTAAAATTTATAAATGTATAAATTAAAGTTTATACATAGAAATTAACATTATAGATAAAATAGTATTATAACATATAAAATATTGTTAGTATATCTTCAAATAATATTTAAGGATTTATATACTATATAAGGTCATGTTAGTTTTACGGTTTTTCACCAACTTCTTCTTTTATTAATTATATATCCTGATATTTCAATTGAAGCAAACTGAACTTGACATTTTTCAATAAACCCAAATTGAACCAAACAATTTACATATTGTATTAAACTCGAACCAAAGATTTATGTTATCATTTTTTCTAACTGGTAAAACATTTTCAGCTCCTTTGTTTATTCTTGCTCATTTTTAAACCTAATTACAAGAAAAAAATTCAGTTTGGTTTTTCAATTATAAGTTCATTTTCAAATCAAACTGAACTTGGGGTGTTTGATTTGAAAATCAAACAATTTGTAACATTTCTAGTATTTATATTATATTCATTTTATTATATCTGTTATATTTATATACATACCTTCTTCAATGTGTAAATTATAATTTTTATTATTTTTTTTAGCATCAGGTAATAATACTTTAGCAGTGATACCAATTCCACCTCCCCCACCATCTTTATTCACTTCAACAAGTAATGGACATGAGGAAAATAATCAGAGAGTTGCTCTTTTATCATCTATTAGCTCATTTGATCCAAGTAAATTAAAGAAAGTTGCCAAAAAAATTACATATTAACTTTATTTCATAGAAATTGTTCGTTTTAGAGCCAATTTTTAATTGATCCTAAAATTTGTTCTAATGGTATTAGAAAAACTGATAAAAGTTGAATACTTTAATTTCTAAAAAATAATATTTGACAAATGATAATGGTGATTATGAAATAACTTTAGTGTTGAATTTCGTCAAGTATTTTTTTTCCGAAGAAAATAATTAAAAATTACAATTTTTATGAATACCTTTAAATATTGAAATAGATGCCCAAATTTCTCTTTAATCATTTAAAATATAATTGTTATTAATATAAGAATAATAAAATGATATATATTTAAGTATTTACTTTTTGTATTTCTGATATTACATTATTTTGTATAAAATAGTAAAATATTGAATGCATATTACTTAAATGAGTTATTAATTAAAATGTTTCATTATATTTGTATTTGGTTTGAGTAATAGATGGACTTATAATGGACTTTCGAAAAAATGTATCGACCAATTTAATCTTTACTTGTTTTCGTTTGTATATTTTTATAGTTTTAATATACTATTTCATTTTTTTACTGGGTGTAATACCATGGATAACGAGTGCTTTTGTTTTATTAGGAGAATTGTATAAATATTATTTAACTAATTTATGGTTTGAAATACTGTTTTGTACTCTAATGTTTAATTTGCTTAAATTAATGATGTATAATTTATTGTAAAAATAAATTGATAAAATTTGAATTTGAAAATAGTTAAATTGTTTATGATATTGCAGAAATATTGTTAAATAAGTTGAATTTCATTATTATTAGTTTTATTTTTGTTAAACTTATTGTGTATTTTATAATATTTATTTTTTTCAATTTATATTAGAAAATTAATCATTGAAATATTAATTACTATTTTTTTAACAATATATATATTTTACTTGTTATTAAAATACAAAATATTTAAAAATGTTGAAGTTAATATACTAAGCGTATAAGGTACCTTCTAAACATTGAACTGGTACAAAATTCTTATTGAATCGTTTTTCTTACTAACATAATATATAATATAATTGTCTTAATTAGATTCCCTACATTTATTTAACATGTATTAGGAACTAACAATTTTGTAGTGAGTACACTTTAACATTTGGAAGAAATCAAAATACTAAATTCAGTAGATTTTGAGAAATTAGGAGATTCAAAAAGAACAGAAGAAGAGTTAAAAATTGTATAAATAATACATCTGTTGGATTAAAATTGGCGCTGGTAAATTTACCTAGATCAAATAAACTAATCTATTGAGATATGTCAACACGTAAACATGTCCATTTGTTACAAAACAATTTAGAAAAATTATGTTTCATAGACTTCATGAATTATCACATCCAGGTATACGTAGTTCAACAAAAATGCTAGAAGTATGTTACACTTAACGTTACTAAGAGTTACTAATAAAATTTAAATAATTATTATATTATTTTGTTTGGAATACAACAGTGTAAAATTTTTACACTGTTGTATTTACAGTAAAAATAAATTAATTGTACAAAGTACTGTACGAGTCTGGCATGTCTAGTTAAAAAGTTATAATTTAAAAAAATTTAAATGAGCAATTTTAATATTTAAAATTTAATTTGATTAAAATTTTAAAAACGTCACTGAACAAATGACATATTTACTTATATTTATTAGTTTTTCATTTGCCACTTTAATTCCTTCTACTCTAGGTTACTGAATTGATATCTAATTTATAATATTAAAAATGATGTGTATTTGCCATTTCGGTATTTTTTACTTCCTTACTAGTATTATATCACACGTGTGCATTTCGACATATAATTTGCCACTTCATATTCATTGCTTTATCATGCTCTTCTACTAAAGTGTTAATTGATTTTGAACCAAAAATTCACAGTGCTTTTGCGAAATTTTTGTCTAATACGAAAATAAGATGTCGATTTTATTTAGGATAAAGTTGGTGTAGGTTAATCCCAAGTTTAGGACTAATTAAAATCTATAATATTTATATATGTAGTAGTAATTATTTGAAAAAAATTTTGGGTTGCCAATTTTAACAATATAGATAGCTGAATTCTAAAATTTAAGACTATGTTATCCAAAACTATACTTTTATTTACTCTATATTTCTTTCAAGCATTTGGGTACATTTTAATGCTAGTTGCAACCGTATCATTAATAGCTATGAAAATTTTCACTCATAACTAAACAGTTCGTTTTATAATAGCCATTCTAACATAAATAACTTCGTATTACTTGAAGTTAAATCTAAGACTTACATAAAATGTAAAAGTACAGGAATAAAAACGAAAAAAGAGTGAAAAAGAAACAATTATTAGAGAATAAAAGAAAAAGTTTGAAAATAAAAGAATAGGGCAGTTTAATCTCGTAAAATCATTGAGTTAAATATTTTTTTCACACCGATAACACAAAAAAAAAAATTATAATTTATTAAAACGCATCAAGTTTAATACATTTTAGGAAACAAGACACACTTTCTTGTGGTGATATTTTTGAGTAACGCTAATAGGCTGATTTGAAGTAGTATATAATAAATATGTAGCCGCAATTCGTATGAACCTCAAAAAATCCCTGTATTATATCAATCCCGAAAATTACGGTTTTTGATATTTCACATTCCTATCATATACTATTCCAATCAATATTCCAGTATTTTATCTTAAAATACCTATTCGTACGCCCCCCCCCTTATTTATGCGTATAGACAGAGTGAGAAAATAGAACGATGGTATAGACGTGCGTGAAGTGAGCAATTTTTTATCAATTTAAAAAAGTAGTAACAACTTGGTAACCAAATATATTCGGATCAATTTTGAATTTGCAGAAAACTGATGCCGTATTATAGGTTTCTACTACATGACAAAAATTGCTGGACTATTCATGTGCACAATTCATTCACATGGACGTCTTTGGGCACTTAGATATTATAATAAATTAATGTATAATACATAGACAAAAAAGTAGAAAGAAGAAGATTAATTTATTGTATTTTTTATTTCTATACATTATTAATTTGTTATATTATATTTCTTCTCGTGAATACATTACAACATACATATCATTTTTTCTTTAATTAAAATCATTGGATTGGATAGAATATTGGATTACTCTGTATAACACTCAATGCCGTCCCACTTGTTGTTACTAAATAATTTTGAACATTCATGAACTTCTATTTTGAACACCAGACGACTTCGGACTGTCTACTAAAAGCCTAACCGTTGTTAGATGACTTTTAATAAGTGTGGTTACAAAGAGTGTTAACAAATTTTTCGGCATCTAAAAATACAAATTACATGAATAATAAGTTATTTTTCGATGAAACTTCTATAATACATTTATTCTCACTACTTTTTGTTACCTGATTGAGTATGATAATTACAGCTAATACATTTACAATAATAGTTAAATCATAATAATCATTGATATATTGGGGTTCGAAATAAAATTATAATAGAGTTAACCTTTCTATAAATTCTAAGCAAACCTAATTTTTTAATACATGATGAACTTTTTTTGCATAAAGTTAACAATAATTATATTTTTAAAGGTATTCGAAAAATTTGATAATTTTTAGCCCCCTAATATTTTACTAAATTTCTGCAATTAAAATAATTATAATTAACATTATAGTATAAGTTAAAAAATAATTATCTTATCACTTTTTCATATTTCATAACTTGATTATGATAGTTATTATAATATAATAACTATGAATATTATTCATTTTAACTCACTATGGTTTATATATTACTTTATACTAACTACCTTGTATTTTAAATTCTAGTTGTGATAGTTTTTTGTAATAAAGTAGTAAAATTTACTACTTTATTACGTTCTTAAAAATAAATAATATATTATTTATTTTTAAGAACGTTTAACTAATCTCATCGATTTTTTTGTCTCATATTTTATTTCTTTACACAATATGCAATAAAAATAATTTTTGCTGTAATCTGCTAATCTATACTTTTCAGTAATACAGTCAATCACTATCTATCTACAGCATTTATTGCAAGACACCCATTGTATATAGTTTCCTTTATGTTTTTCCTCGTGTTATTGACAATAAAGGCATATGTTTGTCATATCGCATGAATTTTCTAACAGTAATTTTAGCTTCGATACGAAGCTGAGAAAGTATTAATTTTAATATGATGTGTCTTTTTTAGCTTCGATGCGACGCTGTGAAGGTATTAATTTTACCATGATGTCTTTTTTTTTTTTTATGTCTGTTGCCACTTTTTCTTAGCTCTCAATGGACCGATTTCTTTCAACAATACGTCAAAAGATCACAAATCGTATCTAGTTGAAGACATTACCCTTAAAAATTGAAAAATTTTCCCTCGTTCCCCGCAAATGGGGGAAATATCTAAAAAAATTACAAATTTAAAAATCGATAATTTTTGAAATTTTTTCACTTTTTTTTCTTAAAACTTCTATAACTTTTTGAAAAATAAACAAATCAACATAATTTTTTTTTATACTAAAACCTTAGATATTTCCCTTTCATTTGATATCATTTTTTGAAAATTTAACACTTAACCTGCTCGTTGGGGGGGATTTAAAATAGCAACTTTTTTACAAAAACTAACTTTTTCAACTTAATTTTTGAAAATGTTCCGGAAATACTGCATCCTTTAAACATATATCAAATTAAAGCTTATTTTATGTANCATCCTTTGTGATGTCAATCACATTTGTGTCAATCACAATAAAAATTTGTTATATATATATATATATAATTGATGACAAGCGCGCGTCTACGGGTTTTGTTTGTCGACAAATGGTGAGCGGGGTGGTGTGAATGCGTTACGACCGTCTAGTCTCAAGGCCGTAGACACGTGCCGCGTGGAAAGTTACAAACATCCCACAACATACAAGTGAAACTAATATAAGCGTGTTAATAAATATAGTTTAAAAAACTAAAAAAACACGCTTTTAAAGCACATCGAACTAAAAAGTTAAAAATAATTTTTAAAATAAGTTTAAAATAATTATGAAAAAAAATACTAGTATTATTGTGATAAAAGCGTGGGGCGCTCAATATACGAAAAATATGACACAATGCACCCACGCTTTTATCACAATAATACTAGTATTTTTTTCATAATTATTTTAAACTTATTTTAAAAATTATTTTTAAATTTTTAGTTCGATGTGCTTTAAAAGCGTGTTTTTTTAGTTTTTTAAACTATATTTATTTTTTAATTTTTAGTTTCATGTTATGATAGTAGTTACTATCAATATCATGGTTGTTACGGGTAACGGGAAATCAGGGTTCGATTCCGGGGAGGGAGTCTGAGAAACGGCTACCACATCCAAGGAAAGCAGCAGGCGCGTAAATTACTCACTCCCGGAACGTGGAGGTAGTGACGAAAAATGACGATACGGAAATCATCCCTCGTAATCGGAATGAATACTTTATATCTCTTAATTAGAATAAATCGTGTTAATATATTAATTTTAATAGTAATTAGAATATATATATTTATACAAATAATGCGACTTAACTACGTAAAAGTATCATGCACTAAGTATAGCTGTGTTTTATGGCCGGGCGGGTCGGACTAACGTTATACCCGAGGTATAAACGGCGGTAGGAATATATATATATATACGTAAGGCGCATTAGACGCGGGCGTTATTGGTCAGTCAAAATAAAAATTTGTTTACATATATATAATATTGATGACAAGCACGCGTGTACGGGTACGATAACTAAAAATAAATTTTTATAGGAATAGTGTACCGTCGTATTGTGAGCGAGGCGTGGGGAGGGGTGAATGCGTATAACAGTCTAGTCTAGACAACGGAATATGCGATAACGCGTGGCGTTTGGAGAGTTACAAACATACATACATACATACAGGTGAAACTAATATAAGCGTGTTAAAAATTGATCAACAAATCGACAATCTATAATTTGCTATACACGGAACTTCAAAATTGTCGATTTGTTTATCAATTTCTATAGTTCAGAAGGATGACCAAGTTTGGTATTCAGTTATAGTGTCATGAACTAATAACTATATGTATATATTAGTTTTAAGGAATTTGTATTATTAGAAAGTAAAAGTAAATAATAGATTATTATTAATTGTATTAGAAAGTATAACACTAGAAACATTGTTAATTGTATTGTTAATTGATTATTATTTCTAATAAAAAGGGACCTGACCACTCACTCGGTGGTCAGTGTACAATCGATGAATGTTACATTATAGTTATTATTTTGACTCTTCTCGATTACACTTATCCGCGTGGGCAAATTGGACGTAGAAACCCCAGTTTACCACATATTATTTGGCATCCCTGGTAAATTCGTTCAATTGGACATCTCGTATTATTTGGCATCCCTGGTAAATTCGTTCAGTTGGACATCTCGTATTATTTGGCAACCTTGAAAAATTGGCTCAATTAGATACATCATACTATTTGGAATCTCCGGCAAATTCGTTCAGTTGGACACCACAAGAAATTGGCAAATTATTGAAACCATCTCAAGAGATCTAACATTGGCACTTTCAACAATAATTGAAAAATGAAATATTTGTTTTTCGTGGCTCTTTTCTGGTAAATACAATTATTTTAGTATAGTTATTTTAGTTTAAGCAATAAATAGAATAAGTTTTTACTTTGTAAAATACTGCTATTGGTAAAATTTCTTTAAAAATTTTTTTTTTACGAACCTTACAAAAAAAATTAACAAAAAAATAATGGCTACACAAAATAATTTTTCTATTTTCGAATTAGCTCAATTAATAGGCGAACCTTTTGAAGGCAAATCTAATACTTTAAATAATTTCATAAATGCTGTAAATGATGCTTATATTATGGCTACGGCTGAACAGCATAGACAACTGTTTTTAGCCATTAAGCTGAAAATTAAAGGCAAAGCTAGAGAATTAATTGACTCTGTAGAAATAAAAGACTGGTCGGAACTTAAAATCCTTCTTATTGAAAATTATGGAGAAGAAATTCGTCCAGATCAACTTTGTGTTGAATTACAAACCATTAAACGGAATAAAAATGAAAAAATTAACGATAGAGTAGAAAAATTAGAATTTAAACTTTATCAGGCTTATACTTACAAATTAACTTGTAAAATAAAAAAATCAGCCATTAGGGATATGTGTGAAGATCAGGCCTTAGGCGCATTTAAAAGAGGTCTTCACAATAACCAAATTAAAATTATCGTGTTAGCTAATAATCCGAAAACTGTAAGTGATGCAATCGCAATTGCTAAACAAGAAGAATTAACGCTTAATACTGAAAATAATTTAGCTAAGTATTCTTTTAATTCAAATAATCCTAATAACTCTTGTAAAATTTGCCATAAAAATAATCATAGTACATCAAGTTGTTTTTTTCGTAATAATAACAATACAAATAATTCTCAAAATACTCAGAATTTTAATAATAACTCTAATAAATTTAGTAATAATAAAAATAACAATAAAAAATTCTGCACTTATTGCAAGAAAAATTTTCATACTCGAGATGAATGTTATAAATTAAAAAATTCTAATAAGAACGAACCTAGTACTAGTAAAAAATTTAATTTTAATGATTCTAAACAAATATCTTCCGTAAATACATCTCAAAATGATATACCTTATTGCAAAATTTTTTCATCAGATTTGAATAAAAATGTTACATTTATGATTGATAGCGGAGCACAAGCTAGTTTAATTAAAATAGGAGATTTACCTAAAGGACATAGGTATTGGGATAATTCTCTTACCACGTTAGAGGGTATTGCTGGAAATACAAACAGTCTAGGTTATACTAAAATCAATTTAAAAATAGGACATAAAACAATAACACATGTATTTTACATAGTTTCAAACAATTTTAACATTAAGTCTCATGGTATTCTTGGGTACGATTTTCTTAATGAATATGTTAAAATTATTGATTTAGGTAAAAAAGAATTAAAATTCTATTTTCACAAAAAAATTGACATAATAGACCTTTCTCTTACTAATAATTACTCGATTAAAGGCTTGTCAGAATCTATCATTAAAGTAAAAACTGTTCAAACTAATAACACAACCGGTATTATATATGACCCAATAGTAATTAACGAAAACATTTTCATTGGAACTTGTATAACGCAAATTAAAAACAATTATGCATTTGTACCGATTTTAAATACATCAGAAGAAGACGTTTCAATTTCTATTAATAATATTAAATTTGATTCTCTACCACAAGATTTCGAGCTCATAAATGTAAATACTACCAATTGTAATAATGCTAATAACAATAATAATAATAATAGATTAGCTCTTTTAAATCAAAACCTTAGGTTGGATCATTTAAATGACGAAGAAAAATCGTCTATTAATTCGTTTAATGAAAATAAAATAATATTTGATAACAATTTAGCAAAAATCTCCCAGTCCATATCTGGCTTACAGAATATTACAGCTGATTCGGTAGATTTTGAAAATATTATGATTACCCAATCCTTAGTTGAGAATAATATTATATCTCTAGATAAAACCATAAGTAAATTAATTTTAGCCATTATTTTTTCTCAGAGGAATCAATTACATCCTATAGTAATAAAACCAGAACAATTTTTAAACGAGATAAACCATATTTTAACTAAAATACCTAATAACCTTCAAGTACCAATAAATGTAAACCTTGATAACATTAACGAAATATTTAAAATTTTAGAAATTAAGACTATATATAATAATAATAAACTAATTTTTAAAATTAAGTTACCGTTAAGTAGTATTAATAATTATATAATTTATCACATTGTACCAATATTTATTCCTTTTAATAATCAAAACCAATTTATTCATCTTACAAAAAATGTCAAATATCTTTTTACGGATAATCTAATATCGCACTATATCAAATTCGACAGCCTTAGTAATTGTCAATTATTAAATAATGTGTTTGTTTGCAAAAGTGACGCGTTCTTTTCCGGTACAGACAAGGTCCCTATATGCGAAACGGACCTATTAAATAATAAATATAGCCTGCCGTCGACTTGTGATGTTTATATATCACAAATTAGCTCGGAAAGTTGGTATCACTCCTACTTCCCAAATAATTGGTATTTTGTCATGGTAAAGGATACCGTAGTAACTATATCATGCAATGCACACACTATAGTTGAAAAAATAATTATAAATAAAAGTGGAATGCTATCCCTAAAAGAGAACTGCATGGCAATAACACCATCAGTTACTCTTGAGGCTACTCAGTCTCAATTAGAATCAAAATTTGAGTTGATACCTTTGGAGTTTAGTCTATTGAACTCAAGTTGTTGCAATTATATACATAATAGAATTGCACAAAAACCCATACACCTCGAAAGAATGGAAAATGTGAAACTCGACCAGGCAGCCCTTAATAAATTAAATGAACAATTATCTTACCAAGAACGCATCGTCGACTTATTAGCAAACAAACACGTTTACGAATTTTATAACGATAATAAGTTTATAATAAATTTACTTTTTAAAACCTTCGGATTACTATTAGTGGTAGTAATTGTATATATTTATATAAAATATTGTAAGAAAAAACCCGTTAATAACCAACCCACAATAGAATTAGAACCTTTAAACTTAGAAGAAAATCCAATTGTAAATAGACAAGAAAGATTTATTTATAATACTAGATTTAGACGTAGGTTACTAGAAAATTTAACATAAAATTATCTGTATTTTAATTAAATATAATAAATAATATATTTTAAAATTGTAAGAAATAATATCTGAAGATATTATTTCTCTTTAAGGGTGATGGTGTCATGAACTAATAACTATATGTATATATTAGTTTTAAGGAATTTGTATTATTAGAAAGTAAAAGTAAATAATAGATTATTATTAATTGTATTAGAAAGTATAACACTAGAAACATTGTTAATTGTATTGTTAATTGATTATTATTTCTAATAAAAAGGGACCTGACCACTCACTCGGTGGTCAGTGTACAATCGATGAATGTTACATTATAGTTATTATTTTGACTCTTCTCGATTACACTTATCCGCGTGGGCAAATTGGACGTAGAAACCCCAGTTTACCACAATAGTATATTCAGTTTGACACATTTTGTTGATTCGTTTTTATTTTTTTGTACCGTTTATAATTTACTGATATATACATTAAGATTAAATAATAAGTTTAAATTATGTATGTCAATTATAGAAAATAGAAAAAAAATGTTAATCACTATTGGACCCTTTGTATGCATAGTAGACTTGGATGATAATGAACAAAAGACGAAAAAAAGAAAATGGTCAAAAAGCTTTTACAAGTTCTCGCCGGAAAGTTGTTCTTAAATTATTGATTTTTTTTCTCACAAACTCACGATCAGCTTCTGGATATTTATCTTTGCATTTTTGTATTAATTCATCCAACCCCAAATTTCTTAAATGCTTATTTTTATGAAGATCGCTTTTTATCTTCCACAGAGCTGGATGTTTTTCGTAAATTTCTATGAATTTCATTAAAAACTGTTTGTCCGACTTAAATGTCATTTTGAAAACAATTAAATTAAAAGACAATAAAAAAAATATTAATTTTTTTATAAAAGATAACACTGTCTGAACGCACACAACTTACTATTAATATTAATTAAAAAATAGCAGGATTATCACGTTGGTTTATCAATTACTCCACGCACGTGTTTATACATGTATCAACCTGTTTATCAATCGACCAGTCGATACTTCCAAAGCATCAATTTGTTAATCGTCGACTTGTTGACAAACATTACCACACACTTATCAATTAATCTGTCAAATCGACAAACCGATCGTTTAGTGTATGGAAGTCTTTACACACATACAAGTGAAACTAATATAAGCGTGTTAAAAATAGAGTTTCTCATTGTGATGGTGTCACGTCACCATTATTGTGAGAATTATTTTAATAAACTACAGACAGCACATCCGCTTCCTGAGACTGATGAATTAACAAATAATATTTATTGCCAAATTGGCAATAGTTCAAATTATTATAAAAATCCAAAATACCTGACCATCGTGGTTAGTCGACTCCAGTACCTTGTGTCATTCATCAGTCTCAGTACTCGTTTAAACCCCCCTGTGGGCAGGTTTAGGGTCAGATTTATAAAAAAAACATACCATATGATAGGTAAAAATATTATGCATCTATTAAAAAATTTTTTATTGATTTGAACAATTTTGAAAAAGTTATGGCAGTTTTAAGTAAAAAAAAAATTGAAAAAATTTCGAAAATTAGCGATTTTTAAATTTGTAATTTTTTGGGGGATTTTCCACGTTTACGGGGAATGAGGGAATTTTTTTCAAATTTTGAGGGTAATCTCTTCGACTAGATACGATTTGTGATCTTTTGACATATTTTTCACCAATATCGGTCCAGCGAGAGCTGAGATTGAGCGTATACAGACACAAAAAAAAAACACATCATAGTAAAATTAATACCTTCTCAGTTTCGCATCGAAGCTAAAATTAGTATTCTTTGTTTATAGTCAATCTATTAGTTATTATTGTAAGCGTGCCTGTAGTGCCTGGTCATTACTTTAGAAATAACAAAATTCAAGTATTATGCTTGTTTCCTTTTTGGTTACAAAGAAAATAAATTCTTGGGAAGTGGTTTAGAGGGGATAAATTTATTTACATTTGCATATTTGTTTTTTCAAAAGCTTAAATTGAACAACAAATTGTTTTATTAATTTCGTGAGTTATTATAGCGGCCTCTATCGTCATCATTTAATAACAATATTTTCTTGAAGTAGTGGGTTATTATAGCGGATTCAGTTAGTAGCATGTATGCGGTAACCAAGTTGTTACCGCATTTTTAAATTGATAAGAAATTGCTAGCTAGAAATTGCTCACTTCACACTCGTTGATAAGGCTTCATGTACATTACCATTATGTCTTAGTTCGTAATTAAAGGTAAACTATTATATTTTAAATGATTAATTTCGTTCCCTTTTTAATTACAAATTTTAAACAGTACTTTTGAATTCAGTCCTAAATTTATTAAGAATTTAACAGTATGGATTATAATGATGTAAAAATTAATTTAAGGAAATACGCTTTTCCTCTTTCTACAGAAAATGCATTAAACCAAATACGTATGTACTAAAATTTTTATATAACATATTTTAAAACCTTTTCTATTTTTATTTATTTAACGTTGTAGAAACAGTAATTAATGGCGAAACCACTCGTAAACAGCATTTAAATGAAGATCTTGCAATGGATTTAATATCTGAATTTATATTTTGCGAAACAAATGAAGAAGGGAAACCTACAAAAGTTGGTTAAGTGTTTTAATTTAAATCCTAATATAAAATATTTATGTAAAATATATTACTATAATAAAAGTAACATACAAATTAAATTTATTAAATATGTAAGTGCTCTACTCGATCTGAACTATGAAAAAAAATTATCAAAGAAAAAAAAAATCCATACACTTGTTTTTAATTTTTCATTCCCTCAAAATCGTGTAACTTTTTTTAATTGTTAAGCCTGAGGATACTTTGGTGAACACAGTCATTTTGCTAGATGTGTTAATTATTAAATTTTTATTTTTATGTAAAATTATTTATAATTACAATAATTAATTATTATTATATTTAATAGCCAATGTCAAGAATCAGACACTTAGAACTATTGGTAATGTTGTGTGAATATTTTAATAAAACAAAGATTAAACATGAAATTGATAACTGTTGTGGAGACACCTCTCTTAATGCTATTTTCATGACACTCTTCCCTCAGTTTGGTGCACCTCCTCAACGAACCAATATGTTAGTGAGTTTAGTGTCATTAGCAATTACAACATATAGTAATCTTATACTGCAATCTGCTGGTATCCAAATGCAGCAGCTTGGCTGCTCATCAAAGTACAGTTTACAATTAGCTGATGGACTTGTTAAGAAATGCTTTATGTTTACAAGCACTAAAGACATAGCATTAAAAACATTACCACAGAATGCTCCACTGTTTACTGCTAACTTGATGACATCATTAGCAGAATTATATTTTGTGACAAGTAAACCTTAATATTTACTATTTTAATTTTGAGTTTAATATTTTATGGGATTCATAAATATTTTTGTTACATTTCTTATCAATAAAAATCACAAGTTTGCTTGTATTGTGCTATGCAAGCATTATAAAATTAGATAGAACAAACCATAATGTTCAATCTATCTAATAATGGGCATATTTAATCTTATATATTGTTTATACTTTTTCAAAAATATTAGATTAGTACTACTAAACAGAAGAATTAAGATTTTTCAAAATCTGATTAAAGAATAATCAAATTCAGTAATTTATAAATTTAATGGAGAAATTTGTTTTTTTTAAGTTTTAACCAAACAGGTTCAAGTTTAGGGGTTTAGTTTACGCATAATATAAAGTTAAGCTAGATTGAGTTTGGTAATTTATATTATAAAAATATAACTAAAAAAAAAGTTCAAAATTATTAAGGGAAAATTAACAAATCTAATCATGATTGTTAAAACTATAACATTAGATTTCTTTTGGATATTATGTTTATGTAAATATAATATCTATACATAAACATTTAATCTAATGTGATCGAAAATTCTTTACACCATCATTATCTCTAATATTCTTTGTCTTTGAGGTTAGTATATGTATACTAACCTATAATTATATAGTATATATAATAATATTGAAAACTTTAAACATTCAAAAAATTAATATAAGTATCAATTATTTTTGTTAGCTTGTTAGATCATTAAATTGCATAAGTAGTTAATAAGTTTTGTAATATTAGACTTGTGATATGTTTAAACAGTTTTTGTAAACCTTATTTTGCCTTCTAAAAATTACAAATTTTTTTATTAGTTATTTATTAGTTTTTTTTTTTTAATTTTTCTTCTGTGTTAAGTGCAACAGTGTTGTTTCATAGGTATTATATTTTTATAATTATATGAATTTTAAAATTTCCATTTACTATCATGTTAAATTTTTTTATATTTCTAGTCTTCTGAAAAATTATTATTTTCAAATTATTTATCTTCTCATTAAAACTAAAAAAAGAATAAAAAATATTTGTATAGATATTTAAATAAAATTATTTTTTTAGAGACAAAAAAATTTTAGTTAAAAATAAGTTTCTACTTTTTTTTGTTTTAGAACCCCATGATGTTGTTATTAAAGAACCCCCAAGGATTGTTTTAGAAACAATTGTTCATTGGATTAATTCAGACCCTTGTTTATGTTTTACTGCACATTATACAGATTTACAAAGAGCATTACCTTGTGGAGCTATTCCTATGGCCGCTACACTTCCTATACATGGTTTATTTAGATGGTGTTTCCTTGCTCCTTTGTTTGTAAAAAATAGTGACGATTTAGAATTATATTCTGAACTTCACTGTGCTCTAATAGAAAGTGTAATGCAAGGTTGGAAAGTATATTCAGAACAGAATCAAAGAGTTAGTAGACCTTATACCATGAGTACCCATACTTCAGTGCCTCCATTACTTAAAGAATTCATTGAAGATGCTCTTAAGTAACTCAATTTCTTACTTATATTTAGAAATTAAAGTAGCTATATTTTTGTTTCATTTGAATTTATTTTAATTTAATGTAAAAATTAAATGAGTTAAATTGTATTAAAATTAATTGGTTTTTAATTAAACATTTTTTTATTAATTTAAAACCAATACAATACAAAAATTATTTTACTTTTTACAAAAGATAATTATAAGTATGATACATATTTATTAATATAGATCAGATAGTCAACAATTAAGAAATAAAGTTGATATTGTGATTGAAAGGTTAGCTCAAAGTATCCATGCTGCTATTATATCTGACACAATATTTGGAAATAAAAGTAAGTTTATTATATTATTATATTTTGTAACTTCTAATCTTTGTATTGAATTTTTTCATTTAGTGGACTTAGTAAAACAATTAGAAGTATTACCTCAAAATGATATATTGCAAGCTTTATTGAAACGTATTCAAGTTTAATTTTATTAATTGCTGATTTTCATAATAAATATTATTATTGCAAATTCAAGTCCCATTCAATTTGTTCATTGAATGTTTGTTTCATTGATTGTTTCCTTAAACATTTAAATATTGCTGCTCGAATTTGCTGATAGATTAAAATTATAATTTACTGGTAATATACTGAAAAGATAACCTTAAAAAATGGAATAATTTAAAATTTAATAAAATATTTGATTCTCAATTTTTTACCATTGCAGCATCAGGTATAATATTTTAAGCTTTTTTTATTTTTTAACAAAACAAAAATTATTGCAGTTTTTATTTATGCTAATAATATAGAATTACATTCTTTTAAATCCTTATGAAATTTCTTATGTGCTACAAAAAAAATTATAATTTTAGATTAAACAAAAAAAAAAAATTATATGAAAAAGTTCATATTTTATTTTTTTTTTAAATAACTATCAAAATCAACTTTGAAAACTATGTATTGTTAGTTAAACTTGATATGTAGTTGTTAAATTTTGAAAGTACTTGTTAAATATAACTCATTCAATTTTTAAATTAATTTTTTTGGAATTTTTTTTATAAGCAAATAATTACTTATTTTATTTTTACTAATTAGCAATTATTTTAAAAACTAGAATTATTCTGAATATTTTAAGAAGAATTCCGGAATCAGTGACATAATTTCATTCAGAATCTGCTATAATATTTGTTGCAAAAAATTTTGTTTATTTCTGAAAGTGAATATTTATTTATTGAGTTTTATTTATTATATTTATGGGACATTTGCACTAAACGGTGCTATAAATATCAATTTTCTAAGTGGATTGTAGATACTAAAACAGCATCATATTTGCCTGACGAATTATAACAAAAGAATTGCTTGGTTGTTTGCAATCGTTGCTAGACACATTTGACCTTAAAGAAAAATGTTGCACCATCTAAGTCTTATTGGAATAAATTGGATCCAGAAGTGATTTCGGAGTATCACAAGACGAGTAGAGGTTGATTTCACTTATTATACCATTTGTTAAAATTATAAAACTTAGCAGTGTATTTGGGCAATATAGTTTTCGAGGTCAAGCAGTAATATTCGCTCAGGATTTTCTCGAAGTTACTGAAAATCATTCGAAGATGTTACCAAGATCCACAAGTAATGCTGGAATAGTTATCATTACTGAGTGTTTTGAAAATATTAACGTTACTCCACAGTTTTCAGTATCTAAACAAAAAGTATATGACGCACTCCATTGGTTAGTAGCTAACAATCCACTTTATAAAGACGTCACTATCGATCAAAACGTCGTAATGAGTGATGAGGATATCATAAGAGTAGAAAAAGCACCATTAGAAGTTGCTGAGGAGATTAGTGAAGAACCTACCTAGAGAATTAGTGCTTACATGAGCATCAGCGATTTTGCGAGAATTGTACGTACTTCATGGCATCCAGGAAACGATGCCATACTCACATCAGGATATGCAGGCTTACAATGCTGTGCGATGGCATTGTCCAACATCCTAAAAGCTAGTATTCTTGCACTACAACACTGGTCGACAAACACTCAATCTGAATATGATAATAGGTGACCAAATCTACAGCGAAATAAGATTTCAAACGGAGAGAAGTCAATCGGCATATCCTATTAAAGATGATAGATGCCTACTGGTGTGAAATTTTAATGTGGTCAAAATTGATTTGATCGCATTTGGAAAAGATTTAAGATCACTTTTGTTGATGAATCAAGCGTATATGGAAGCTTGAATGATAAGTATAATGTAGCAAACTTTGGACGCACCCATCGTCAAGGTTTGGAAGATCTGTTCGTGGTATATAGCGCCGGCATATTGATAACAGATGAACAATCATTCGGAGTGATGCACTAAAATGGAAAATATTACTTCAGCAATTCACACTCTTGTGGTCAAAAGGGATCCAGAGCGAACGACAGCTACGGAAAAGCTTGCATCATCGAATATGATAATTCAGGAGAGTTTGCGAGGATCTGTAAACGTGCTACAGGCAGCATAACGACAATATCGTTAATGTAGGACATGAACTGAAAGCAGTAGAATTTGCCTGGTACTTCTTATTTTCTTATGGAAAATACGGTATTAAAGAGCAAAGACCCGTAAATATTACAGCATTAGACTACTTTCAGTGTAGAATTTTGGGAAGTGATACAAGATTTCAACGCAACGACTATCTTTTTTATGCCTTATCCTTTGAATATCATCGTATCAAAAGCACTATATCAGCATGTGGTAAGAAAATCGTTAATCAAGAAGGTGCAGTCGAAGAAGTCCATCTGTATGTGAAAAATTTGAGAGGTTCTATAGCATATTGGAGATCAGCCTTAAACGAGCTATTAGCTCAAATCAGATGTTTAGGAGCTCCAACCTACTTTGTAACATTTAGCTCAAATTATCTCAACTAGTTAGATCAATGAAAAGCTTTGTTAATAGTTGATCCTAATACGCTCAAAATTTATGAGACTTAAAGGCAATCGAAAAGTACCTAGTAATTTAGAGTCGACATTTCATGGTTAGAAATGTAACGAAACACGAATTGCGTCCCATTCTTCAGATGATTTTCTTCGTAACGGAGGTAGAATTTGTTTACTTAAGCGTCGAATTGAAAAAACGTGGGTAAATAATTACCACCCAGAGTTAAGATTATGGTCGGGCAACATGTATATTTAGCCGTGCGGATCAAACGATGCGATAGCGTACTATATAGCAAAGTGTCTATCGAAAACAGAACCCGAAGGTGTAGATTCTGGAATTGTGCAAGCAATACAGCAAATTCAGCGTGAAGAGACAGATATTTCATGCAAACTGTTCAGGATATGTATGAAGATTCTTCATGAACGACAAATATCGAGTGCAGAATGTGCGTATCGAATTTGTCATATCCCATTACGAGAACACTCGCGAAGCTGCATTTATCTAAACATAAGAACAGCGTTAAAGAGTATTGCAATTCGACAAAAGTGGACACGCAACTAGCTATTGTAGCAATATCTTTGAAAGATATAAAAACGTCCGTTACAACATCCTGACAATGATTTTGCGAACATGAGCCTTACAGCGTTTGCAATGTTGTTTGAACCATTTTATACAAAAAAGGTAAGCGAGACCTAAGAAAGTATTGATCATGATAATTATGAAGAACATCCAAACACATGTCGCCAACTCTTCTTGGATAAGAGCAAAATGGCTGTGAGGAATGTTCCCGCAGTTGTGAGGGTACCATACTTTATAGCAATATCAGATCCAGAAAACATTTTCTACAGCTTAGTCATTCAATATATGCCTTACCGTTTGGAAACTGAACCATTTGAAAGTTTTAAAAATGCAAAAGAGGCCTTCTTAGATCGGGAGGATCGTTTGAAAGAAATGAGTGTATATATATGTGTCAATTTCGAGAGAATGACCAACAGTTTGAAAACGAATTCAATCAAATACATGCATTTGAAATTTTAGAGCAGCCAGAGAATATCAATCCTGAACTTGGGGAAGAAGAATTACCAGAGACAGAAATAAGCAATCATCAATTTCAGGGAGCACAACAGGCTATGAATATTGATCAAAGACAATTGGTCATCTTCATTACAGAAAGTATCAAAAATCAACTTAACGATGATATTAAACGAGAAAAAATTGTTGTAACTGGTGTAGCAGGTACCGGAAAAACTTTCCTCTTCAATATTTTGAATAACCAAGTTAACCAATTTTATGGAAAATCGGTTGTGAAAATTGGTGCTCTCACTGGATTTGTAGCACAATTGGTTGGTGGCTCTACACTACACCATCTGCTAAAACTACCAGTACAAAAATATGGAGTTATCGTTAGCATGCCATTTCTAACTGGTATTTATTTGAGAGGTATGCAACAATTATGGCAAAACGTTGAGTTTCTGTTTATAGATGAAATTTCTATGGTACCTTATGAGATGCTTTGCATGATCGACACTCGTTTGCGTCAATTGAAAAGTCCTTTGTTTTGGAGGCATAAATGTTTTACTCTTTGGTGATCTAATGCAGTTACCACCTATCCGAGGACATCAAGTATTTCAACAACCAGAACACATGAAACCCGCTACACATTTGTGGTGGTAATTCCGCCTGGTTGAACTCAAACCAAACATGCGCCAACAAGTAGACACGACATACATAGATGTGCTTAACGCCTTAGAATTGGAGAATTAACATCTAAGAAGTTCTTCTTGGTAAGAATTCTGAAATCTGAAGAATTTTCGATTGAGAGAGCTTTGAGGATTTATCCGACAAATGACCAACTTACTAGACATAACGAAAAAGTTCTCCAAAATTTTGAGAATAAACGGACTGCTATTTATTTAATTAAAGCACAAGACCAACTTATTGATGCTACACGAAATTTAGGTAATGAAGACATAAATTCTGTAATACCCAATGATATAAATAAAATAGGATGTCTTCCTAATGTATTGAAAATATTCGTTGGAGCTAAAGTGATGTTAAGGTTGAACATTGATGTGTCAAAGGGTTTAGTGAATGGTAACATGGGCTTCATTACAGAAATTATAAAGCCAAATTTTCGCAGGAACCAAGTATATGCGGAAGACATCCCGTTAGTCCGTATTAATTTCGGTTCAGATGTTGAACACGTAATTAAGCCATAATCGATAGATTTTCCAGCAAAATAAAGCTATGGAACTGCTAAGAGACGAATGTTACCGATAATTCTGAGTTGGGTATTGTTACGTCGCTATTTAGAGGTTGAGCCTAAATGCCCGCCAACAGTATTCTTAGGGGGTATTCTAATATTTCAACAGGAGATAGCAGGCTAGGCTATATCTACCTTAGGTACTGGGGTTTCCTATTTAATTTATATTCCCTTAGAGGAACTACCAAGGGTCGCACTATAATATATATGTTACGGGTAAAGTATAAAAATGGTTAGTGTACATATTACCCGGGTAATGTGAACCTCATCCATACGAACAGTGTAATGTATACATTATCCACCTTAAATATGTAGTATCCAATCAATTTATACATTATCCGGTGTGCTGTGGATAATGTATTCGTATAACTATAATCGTAAACTTATAACTTCGGTAAATGGTACAGATTATACAAAGTCTTTCTAGTAGCAAAAACCAAATTATACTAATTCAAAAAAAAATTATTTATTATTATTACGATTTATTATTATTTATTATTGTTTTTAGATTTTTGTTTAGATTGACACGATTCACAAAACTTTAAGTAAATAGACACTGCTTCTTGTGTTATATTTTTATACTTTTTTTTAACTTCAGCATTCATGCGGTGTTTTCCACCATGCCCAATACTCAAATGTACATCGTGTAGCACATCATAGATATTTTCATTAGTAATATAGTACAAAATGTTTGTATTACCTTCCAACAACGGCAATATTAATTTATCTTCTTCTCCAATAGTAATGAGGTCGTATTTTTTCAAAATTCGATATGCCTTGTTACTTTTTATTCCACTTGATCTCACATTTTTAATTTCCGAAACTATTTCATTATACTTAACTGCCGATAAATAAACTGAATTATTATTTTTTTCATTAACTATTTTATAAAAACATTCATAAAATTTTTCACGTGAAGTCATTTTAAAAACCTATTATATGTACGACGCGTGTATTAAGACGAACTAGCACTGTACTAAATATTATTGCGTGTGTTTCTTCATAAACATTTATCTACAATCGTTATTTTATCATATACATTTTATCAAAGTACTTTACCCACTCAGTCGTAGATAATGTGTAAAATACCCGAGTAAAGTACGAAATAAACGTTTTATAAATAGTATTTTTACTTTATCCAATAGGTACAGGTAGTGTACACATTACCCGGATAATGTGAACACTAACCATATTTTGTACTTTACCCGTAACATATATATAACACATTTGGTTAACAACGATATAAATATTTATTAAGTAAAGATATATTAAATAAATAATACAACCTGCTGGACACCTAGAGATAATAATAGTCACAGCCAAAAACAGGGAGCTGACGACGACACACATACACTCTTTACGTGGTAGGTAATTTAAGTTAAGTATAAGAAAAGAGCAAGAGTAATTGTCGCGATGATAGTAAAGGGTCAACTGCTGATCGGGACATTCGTATTATGGCTCGGTGGCCGTGAATTCCGAAAGTGTTTATGTGTGCAGTCAGTCCTCCTGTTAGTATTGTATGACACTGTGTCAATTATATATATATATGTGTGTGTGTGTGTGTGTGTGTGTAATAAACGGTACAGTGATGTTATGGGAAAAAGAGATATGAGCACATGCAAATGCGATCATATCAGCATCAACCGTTCTTAAGATGCAAGGCTGTACAGTTAATCATGCAGTCATTTATCTGGGCTCTCGGCTGTTTACTGCTGGACAAGCATATGTAGAACTTAGCCGGTGCAGATCTTTGGACGGTATTCGAATTAAAGAACTTGATTGCTCAAAGTTACACACGTACACACCACACACGCACATAAACACATTTTATAGTATAGTATAATATTGTATTGCGCAATAATTTGCTAATTATTTTTGTTAAAACTGTTATTTTTTTGCTCGTTGAAAATATACATTCAATTTCGTGAAAATATCAATATTATTACCTTCACAAAAATCATGAGATTCAGCTGAGCTAAAAGGAGGACCATTATTATAACCATTTTTTTATGCAAACCAAAGTCAATAGAAACAACTATTTAAAAATTCAATTACTTTACTAGCATTTGTAAGATTCATAACCTAACATTCAATCCATTTACTATAATCATCTACTAATAACAATATTTTAATTTTATTAATTTCAAAGAAATTGATATGAACTCTTTCCTAAACCATAATCGACATTAGCCAACTAACATATACCTTATCATTTTTAGATTTATCGTTTTGATTTATTTGACATTCATTACACTCTTTACTAAAACGTTCTATATCATTACATAATGTTTCCCACTACATATGTGACCTAGTCAACATTCTCGTACGTACTATACCGGGATGACATTCGTGTAGTATATTTAACACATGCAGTTGAATGTTCTTAGGTTTTACCACTCTACAACCTACAATAACGCAATCTTTATCGACCGATAACTCACTCCGTCGACGAAAATACGGTAGAAGAACTTGGTGTTTTATTTTTGCTGGCCAACATAAAACAATATAATTACATACTTTTTTGAATGCCTCATTTTTTTTGTTTCCTCGCCAACTTTTTTATATAATAGTGGCAGTTCTACCAAAAAAGATCAATTTTCGGATTTCTCTTCAATTTCATTTGATACTGGTAACCTGGATAACACATCCGCGTCACTGATCTATGTACCTTGTTCATATTGTATTATATATCAATAACTATATAAAATGATTACCCATCATTGTAATCTTGACGTTGATACTATCGGGATATTTTTTTATGGATTAAAAATTTTTTTTTAATGGTTGATCAGTTATCAAAAAAAATCTAAACCAAGCAAATATTTATGAAATTTTTTTACGCCAAAAATTATTGCTGGCGTTTCACGTTCAATTTGTGAAAAAAATTGACTTTTGGATAGCGTGCTCGACGCAAACGCTATCGGTTTCTCCTCATTATCGATTATATGACTAATTACTGCATCAACTACATAACTACTACTATCTGTGGTTAAAACTAAGGGAAACTTTGGGTTAAATTGAACTAACAACTGACTATTACATAAAGCTACTTTAGCCTGGTGCAATGCTTCTTCACATTCTGTTGACCATTCCCAACTAGTATTAATTTTTGTCAATTCATATAACGGAGCTAATAAAGTTGAAGACATTGAAATGAATATATTATAATAATTTATTAACCTTAAAAAAGACTTTAATTTCGTAATATCACTAGGTTTAGGTGCGTCCATTATTGCATCTAATTAATTTTTACCTGGATGAATACCATCTTCGTCTATAATATGACCTAAAAATTCCACACTAGTATAATACCATTGACATTTAATAAAATTAACTTTATCTCCATGTGCATTTAACCGTAGAAATACTTTGTTTACCGTTTCACGACAATTTTGTTCATTATTACCTCCTTAAATTGAGAATATCTAACATTAAATTTTCCATTGATGCTTGAAATTTAGCCGATGCTAACGCAATACTATAGCATAACCTATTATATTTATACAGGCTTTTATGTGTGTTAATCGCGCGACTACCAGGTGCTACTTTTAGCTGCAAATAAGTATCAGATAAATCTATCACAGTAAACACTTCACAATTGCATAGCTCTTTGAATACCTCATCAACTCTAGGAAGTGAGTGTTGGTCAACCTTTAATGCTGGATTTACAGTAACCTTAAAATCACCACAAACACGAATCTTATCAATACTTTTTGGCTTATTACTACTATGGGTGATGCCTACTTAATTCATCTTCTACTTTTGATCTAAGCACAAATGGTAATTGATATGCTCTATGAAATCTTGGAACACAGTTATCTTTTAAAGTTAAATTTACTTCATACCCAATAATACTGTCATCCATATTGATACTACTATGAATGACATACGGAAAATTTCTTTTAATTTTATCAACAACTTTATTTTTATCCTCTATTCTGCTTATAAGTAACTGATTTTCTCCCCGATTTACCTCACTCGTTACACTAATGAACATTTTCTTCCAATCAGGAGAGCGTATATTAACCAATGCCTACCTAATAAACTCTTACCAAAACTGTCATAAATCATAATCAAATTGAGTTTTACCACTTTACTTACCAACTCTATATCAACTAAGGATTGCCTTAACACTTCTATGTCAGTATTATTAACCGAATTTAAATGTATCGGTTCGACTCCAGACATATTTTATATTTTAACTTTTGCATAAACACTTTTTGGAATATTAGTAACGGACGCCACTATCTATTTCAAAATTTAGTAAAACCCCATTAATTTTAATATTTACCATTAAAGGCTCACAGCTCAGAGAACTTACATTTACAGTATTATATCAGCCACCGATTCAATAAAATTAATACATTTACCCTTTGTTTTGACTTTACAAATTTTTAAATTTGAGGTATTACTCAAGGCCTCACATGTAAATCGTTTCCACTCTTTTGCTGGACACGTACAATGATCATGATTTCTCCCACGCCGAAAACACTGCCTGACTAACTGACTATTACCTTGAGATAACTGAATTTGTTTATATTTTTATTAAACACCGTCGTAGGATTATTTGTGTTTTTCTTAAATTCCATGTACAATTTAGTAACCACATTTATTTGCGAATAAGACTGGTTTATTTGACTAGTTTGATTACCAACTAATTCGGAATTTAAAGCAATTTCACATGCTTTTTCAAACTTTAAAGTCTTTTTGCCAAGTAATTTTCCTTGTATTGATTCATCCTTCTGGCCAACAATAAGACTATCCCGCTATACGTTGTCTAAATAAGTGTCAAACTCACAAAAATTTGTTAAATTTTTTAAACTATCGATGAATTTCTGGATAGATTCACTTGCCCCTTGAACACTTTGATTAAATTTAATTTTTCACTCACCACTAATCGACGCGAAGAAAAAATTTCTTCAAGGATAGTAATGAATTCATCGTACATTTTATCACGCTGTTCATCCGGCAAACACGCTACTTACAAATGGTTATACATTTCAGGACCAATTCAATTAAATAATTTGCTTTATCTGTCTCATTGACTTTTAGTACGGTTAACTGTGCTTCTAACTGGTTTAAATAATTTTTACGGCTCTCACTCTGGCTCGAATGCCGAAATTATATAAGTATATGTTTAAACACAATTTCACAGTGTGAAATGGTCATCAGAGGACGGCATTTTAACCCAACGAAACTCCAAAAAAATATCTATGTTACAAAAATAATAAATGTTTTTATTTATTTCCATGTACTCACAAATAAGTAGTTAATGTCAAATTTGAAAATTCAAAAGGACATTAGAGCGGCGGAAGTGGCAACGATGGTGGAGGTGGCGGCGGCATTTTAATCCAACGAAACCTAAACATACCTAAAAAAAATGCCTCCCTTTAATTCACACCCTTAATAAGTAGTTTATGTGAAATGTGAAAGTATAGACTAGATTAGACGTAACATCGATGTTACGCTTAATCTCGTCTATTTAAAATTTAGAGTTTAATAATATAGTTGTAAAGTTATTTTATAGTGCAATATTATTTGCAACTACAATTTCTGATATTGAGTCAAATTCTATTCATTAGTTCAGTAGCACTTCAATGTTTGCAAAATAGATATTTTTTCTTTAACGATTAAATGTTATTGAGCCTTTCTAATTCAAAGTATTTACTTTAAGTAGTTAAACATTCTTGCGAACAGATATTTACGCTAATGAGTAATCGTTAATGTATCTTTCTAATTAAATCATACACGAACATGTTGAAGTCTGTCAATGATTAGTCTAATTGGTTGGGGTAGGATTATAATTTATTATAAATTTGTGAAAATATTTAGCACCAAAAAGGAAAGTGTATACGGGAGTGAATGCTATATAATTAATAATTTAATAATCGATTACGATACAATTAATGAGTATCTTTTCGCAGAAATGAACGTGGAAACTCCGATAAAGTTACTTTGTCTTCAAGAACCTTCAGCTGTACAGCAATTCTTCTAAATGAATAATATGGCCGCTGAATGTATGAGAAAACAACGTTATGTTTATGTTGCACTGACACCGCCAGTCGAAATGCTTGACTCAAGCAGTTATAATATTTCGTTCAGTGACAGAAAATTTTTGGGATTGAATCCAAAGGAGGACTTCAATATTATGGTAAATATTATTACTCCTTCACGATATATTACCATGTCAATACAATTTTTAAATATTGTTTACGGCATGATGGATGAAATAAATCTATTTTTACAATCAACTTCTATGAGGAACGAAAACAATATTTTTAACTAAAATGATTGTTTCAAACTATTTAAAGTATTATATCGTGATACAGTACATTTAGTATTAGAATCAGTAACGCTCGATGGATGTCGTGTATTATTAAATAATGAAAACATTCAGGTGCTTAAGCAATTGGAGTATACTATTAACAATGGTATAACAAGAAAATTAAAAACGCGTATGCAAGGAATAGATCTAATAGGTCGTATTGTACAATACGCCGATAGTAAATGGACAGGTCTTAGAACTCAACAATCACCCAATGGTGAAATGTATAATTTAATAAGAAGTATAAACGATTTAACACTCAACGAAATTATCCCAAAAGGTGATAATAGCTACCTAAGCAAGTTGAAGAATGTAGCATACGATGAAATAGTCGATCGATGGGTCAAGTCGTGTTCCGAGGGCACGTTTCAAATCAATGTGAGTTGAGTGAATATAAATTATCATTACTTTTATTGTCATTAAATTTATAATTTGTTTTAGGAAAAAGAAGAAATGTATGACGAAAACGACGGACCATCATTTTTCAACGAAACCCAAGAAAATAGTTATAGTTCATGGGCTTCTCAGTGGCCTAAACCAAATCATGTTAGAAAATTAACCTATCTTCAGTAAATTTATGAACAATAATTTTTGTAATATTTGTACTAGTTTCTTAAAATAAACTTATGATCTAAAAATAAAAATACGTTGTTATTTATAATATAATATTTTATGACTATCGTTGTCTATTAGTTTTGCCAATTCATTTCCTTTTCCAATTATCATTGAACTCGGGTACCTTCCCTAATCAGTGGAAAAATAGTTTTTTGACACCTATTCATAAATTGGGTGATAAATCCAATGTACAAACCTACAGGCCTATTTCAAAACTTAATTATTTAGTCAAGTTGTTTGAAAAAATAGTTGAAAATAAATTTTCTAGTCAACTGAAACATATTCTTTGTAATTCACAACATGGGTTTAGACAAGGTAGATTTGCATTAACGTACTTATTAATTTATTACGTCTAATCTAGTCTATACTTTCACATTTCACATAAATTACTTATTAAGGGGAGGCATTTTTTTTTATATTGCACATACTTTACACGTGTTGTCATGTTTAGGTGTCGCTGGGTTAAAATGCCGCTCTAATGACCATTTCACAATTCACATTTCACATTGTGAAATTGTGTTTAAACACACATTTGTTATCTACTGTTACTATAAACAAATGCATTGGACTACAATGAATTTTCATCAGAAGCAATAATATACTTTTCTTTTTCAAATTTTCGCGCTGTTTTCAAATCTGAAATTAGACTTTTTCTATCACTTTTAATTTTTGATGTTATTACTAACTAAACCGCACCCCTTACTTTATAAACAGTCCCAATTGGCCTGCAAAAATAATGCACCAATTTTTTATACAACAATTTAAATTTCAAAAACATTGTATTAGCATGGTTACATGGGTTAATAAACAAATATTCTGGTAACAATTAATTAAGTAAACAATAAATATATCATACTGTACTATTGATGATATTCGTACCGGACGCTATTAAATTAGTAAGTATTATTATTATTTATATTTAGTACTTAAGAATAATTTACTTAAGTAGGTATATCTATTTTAAAATAGCCTACTTGAAATCTCACACATAAAATAAAACTGAAATGACGCCCCTGTATAAGGAACTTTCATCAGAATCAAAGATACACTTTTCACGCCGTTTTCAAATCTGAAGTTAGACTTTTTCTATCACTTCAAATTTTTGATATTATTACTAACTAGTAAAAAATGAATATTTACATGTAAAAAAAAATCTAATCAGTTGAGCGTATTATAAAAATTGATTATAATTATAAAAATCAATTATAAAATAAGATAACCAAAAATCATTTAAACAGTAACATTTTACTAAATAATTTTGAATATTATAGATTGTTAGTATACCATAGTCAAGAAATTAATAAAAAACAAAGTAAAATTATTTATTTCATATTTGGCACATACTATTATATCATACATAATTCGAAAATATATACTCTAAAAACATTAGACATTAATGATTTTAAATGTCTATATGGAGAATGTGAACTAAGTAACTTTTTAATTGATAAAAGTGGACATTTTTTCAATTTTTGAGGGTAATATCTTCAACTGTATAACCAACTTAAATGATACAAATTGTAATCATTTGACATATCGTTGAAAAAAATTGATCAAGTGAAAACTGAGAGAAATGAGTGACAAAAAAAAAAATAATAGTAATTAAATTTAGTATGAAATTCATATTCAATAATTTAATATTGTAATTTATACGTAGCAATTATAAAAATAATGAAGTAGTTTTATATTCTTTTACTTTTAACGTGTATAAAAATTTAAAGGGATTATGCAATACAAAAAATAAAAATTTTTTGTTACTTATAAATAAATACACTGGACTACAAGAAATACTTGTCTAAATTAACTTTTTGCGATGTTTCAAATGTGCAATTAGGCTTTTTCTATCATTTCTATGTTTTAATATTAATAATATTATTAAAAAATAAGTATTTATATATAAAAAAATAATTAAGAACAAAAAAAAAATTGTTTTAAATTAATACTGATTTTGGTTATTAATATGTTAAAAACAAGGAAAATGACATATTTAACCTATTTTTTTAATCCTTTAAAGTTGATTTTTGTGAAAGTTTATAGTAAAAAAAAAATTAATTTATTACCATAACTTTTAGCTCAATTGGCAAGTTTGAAACAGTCAGGAAGTTTTATAATTACTATTTAAAGTAAATTTATCAGAAAAGCTTAATATTTTTTTGCATTTTTATCGTAATAGATAACTTAGATAGAAATAATAATAATCGATTCCTAGTAACTTTTGGTGTTTAAAAAAATTTTTAAATTGAAATATGAACTGAATTAGTTTTAATGATTTACTTTAACTAAAATAACTAATCAAAAAAAAAAATTGTGAAAAAAATCTAAAAATGCATTGTTAATTCAGGAGAAACTAATAATCATTTTTTTAGAAATTATTTATATAGCAACATGTTACCAAAATATTTGGAATATTATAGTCTATAAAAAATTATTAAATTACAAAGTAAAATGATTTAATTTTGTTTTTGCAACCTATCATTTCGAACTTGATTCGTTAATAAATACTTTTAAAACATTATATATGAATGATTTTAATTATCTGTATGGAGAACATGGGATAAGGTAACTGTTTAATTGATAAATTAGAATTTTGTTTTAATTTTTGAGGGTAATATATTCAACTAGATACGAATTTTAATCATTTAACGTATTGTTGAAAAAAATAAGTCAAGTTAGAACAGAGAAAATAAATGATAGTCACAAAAAAATACCGTCTCAGCTTTGCATGGAAGCTAAAACCTAAAATATGGTAAAATAATTTTAATATGAATAAAAAATTTCTTTTTGAAATTTGATAAAAATCAAATGAGTTGAAAATTTATTCTAACTTAAAAAGAATTAAGAAAAAATGTAAAAAATTCCTCGTCATACACAGGTTGGAACCTTGTACCTCAAGCGCGTAATACACAAGTGTTACCGATCGGCAATCGTACATCGCTTCCGTCAATTGAAAAAAATGGCAATTTAAGCTAGTTCGCATTTAAATGTTATTTTTCTCTACTTAAAAAGAGGAAAAATTTAAACTTTAAAGTTTTACTAATGATGTAAGATCAATTGTACTATTTTATTTTCTCTTTTTATTTAATTGTTAATTTTCTTAATTAAGCTATAATAATACTTTGTACTGAAAATGAATGATGTTGATATTATTAAACAACACACTGGGTACAGTAATATTATTTAAGATAACAGTTTAATGTATTTTTACTTATGTTAGTATAGTACAAGGTCAAAGGGACACATTCCTTTTACGATTATGTTGTTTTACTCAATGCAGCCTATTGTATACATGTTTACAGTTTAATCGTAGTTTCACCGCCTATCGAGTAAAGTGACCCGTTGCCGTTGTACATCTCTTATATTATATGTTTTGACATTTTATATTAAATACTATTACATTACGAATAATTTCTAAATCTTTTAATTACATAACCTATTCCATTCAACAAATAAAATAAAAAGTTTTACTTTATAGTCAAAATCGAGAACTTTTTCACGGAAATCGTACGTTTTACTTTAACTTTGGTGTCCGTTTTCACAATGAAGACATGTCCAAAGGTCAAATTTTTTTTTTTCAAATTAAAGTATATTACATAATATTTAATTTAAGGTATATATAAAAGTGTCAGTCTTTCCGGAACATTTTCAAAAGTTATTTTTTTGAAACCCTTCATGTGAGCTGGTTAAGGGTCATATATTCATAAAAATATATAAAATGATAAGTAAATACCTAAAGTATCTATAAAAAAAAAATTATATTGATTCGGTCATTTTTAAAAAAGTTATGGCAATTTTAAGTAAAAAAATTTTAAAAATGTCGAAAATTAGCGATTTTTAAATTTGTAATTTTTTGGGGGATTTCCCCCGTTTACGGGGAACGAGGGATTTTTTTTCAATTTTTGAAGTTAATATCTTCGATAAGATACGATTTGTGATCTTTTGACATATTGTTCATCAAAATCGGTCCAGCGAGAGCTGAAATTGAGCGTTTACAGACACAAAAAAAAAAACACATCATAGTAAAATTAATACCTTCTCAGCTTCGCATCGAAGCTAAAATAAAAGGATAATAAAAAAGCGTACAGTTATAATAATTAATTTTTAAAGCTTATATTTATATTCCCAAAATAAAACACTTACTAATGACCTATCAAACAATTAATAAAACTACGTAAAAATGCATGACGTGTCCATTTATGGTACCATTGAATTGAGCTGTTTTCTTTACTAGAAAAGAAGTTATTTTGGAATTCTGATCCTTCACCTGAAAATTAAATGTTTCTTTACTTATAAACTTACAGCACATTTTTTAGTTACATATCATTTTCGATTTGTCAATTTTTAAGTATTTTCTCAATTTATTTCTCTTACCTTATAATTAAGAATTCATGTGTATTTATGCATTTTGATTAGGCACTTTGAAGAAACCTAAGTTTGAACTATTTGTAGGAATATGTATACTATTTGTATAAATATTTTTTTTTATTTCAGGAAGAATAAAACCCTTTAATTAACCTCAAAATTATACCCCCAGTACAGTACTCGATTTCTGAGTCAATAAAATGTGTATTAGCTTATAATGTGTTATAAAGTCGAACCCTTATAAGGCAGTCAACTTTATGTTTAAAATAGCAACATATATTTAACTAACTCACAAAAGAAAAAATTTTAATTAATAAAATAACTTGGTTGAAAACAAATTTTGGATTAGCATCTCGGAAGTTTTTGACATTTATATACAAAAATTATCGTAGTTTAATTTTTATGATACTTTCATACCTCGATTTGATCTTTCTTCATCTTCATTTCTTAAAGTGTCAACTAAATAAACATAATTATAGTACCATATTACTCTATATGTATCTGTACTCAAGAGACAGCTGAGCCTAGGTTTATTTTTACTAAACTAAATGTGTTATAAAAAAATTTTATAGGTTGAATTTTTCTCTATTATAACATAAGATAAGTATAACTTACTTGCATGTTGTCTTGATACATCATCGCGATAACGTCTGATTAACTCATTGGCGCCTTCGCCGGGAGAATTATAAGCTAAAATAAGTAAAAGATGAGTAATGTGCAAAGTAAAGTGTGAATAATTAATTATGCTATATACAGTATAACAGCTAACAGCTGGTCATACTGACCAACTGACGCGCTAAAAGCCAATGATGATGAAATTATTTTAGATAGTACCTGTGTGGCTAATATGTAGTCTATCTGGCGACCACAAATAAATAAATATTCAAATAAAGAGTGTGTTGTATAATATATAATAACTACTTTCTTTTCAAAAATTTTCCTTTATTTTTTTTCTTTTTTAATACGCTTATATTAGTTTCACATGTATGTTGTTTGTTGCATGTTGTAAGTTTGTAACTCCACGCGGCACGTGTTATTATGTCGCGTATCCCGTCGTCTATGACCTTGAGACTAGACCGTCATAACGCATTCACCCCACCCCGCTAACCAATCGGCGCCAACACTATTTTCCAGTATAATTTTATTTTTGGTTTTCGTACCCGTATACACGTGCGTGTCATGAATTATATATATATATATATAACAAATTTTTATTGTGACTGACACAGCCCCGCGTCGCTTCATTATACACGATGCCCCCCAACTCATGCCACCTTTATCAGCCGTCGCCCCATTATGAATATTTGACTGACCAACATCTCGCGTTATACGCCGCGGTGCAAAGTATAGCAAGTGTCGCACGGCCGACGACGTCCCGCCGCTAATGATACCGTAGTCTTCTTCTCGTTGTCAAAGTGACAACGTCAACAAACCGATCCCCGCACTCACGCACTGTCGTCATCTACGCTGCTAACCTTTTGACGCCCGAGGATCACGCCTATATATATATTAATATTTATAAATACGTATAAGATAATATTCATTTATATATTCCTACAGCTGACGCCGCTGCCGCCGCTGCCGCCATATGTACCTCGTGTATAACGTTCCCCCCGCCACGCCCGCCCATAAAACACGGCTATACCTCGTGCATGATACGTTTACGTACTTAAGTCGCTTTACATGTATATTTTAATAATATATATTTTAATTACTATTAAAACTTATATATTAATACACTTTATTCTCATTAAGAGATAGATGAGTATATTCATTCCGATTACGGGGGATGATTCTCGTATCGTCATTTTTCGTCACTACCTCCACGTTGCGCGCCTGCTGCTTTTCTTGGATGTGGTAGCCGTTTCTTAGACTCTCTCTCCGGAATCGAACCCTGATTTACCGTTACCCGTTACAACCATGATATTGATATTAACTACTATCATAACATGAAACTAAAAAGTGAAAAATAAATATAGTTTAAAAAACTAAAAAACACGCTTTTAAAGCACATCGAACTAAAAAGTTAAAAATAATTTTTAAAATTAACTTAAAACAATAATGAGCGAAAAATACTAGTATTATTGTGAAAAAAAGAGTGGGTGCTTTGTGCCATATTTTTCGTATATTGAGCGCCCGACCCTTTTATCACAATAATACTAGTACTTTTCCTACATTATTGTTTTAAGCTTATTATAAAAATTATTTTTAACTTTTTAGTTCGATGTGCTTTAAAAGCGTGTTTTTTAGTTTTTTTAAACTATATTTTTATACAATGGTGGATGGAGTAGTACGGTTTATTAATGTCTAGAATTAAAAATATTTAAAATAACAGCCCTGCGCATCTCCTCTAGCCATTATAGTAAAATATTAATACTTTCTAAAATACCGGTCGTTTGAAACCGATATTGAAATTGATACCGTTTATTAACTTTAACGCAGTGATCTAAAAATAGCTCTAATTTACCAAAATAATTAACCTTTTTTAACACGCTTATATTAGTTTCACGTGTATGTTGTTTGTTGTTTATTGTGTGTTATTTGTAACTTTCCACGCGCACGTGTCTACGGCCTTGAGACTAAACGGTCGTAACGCATTCATCCCACCCCGCTCACCATTCGCCGACAACAATATTTTCCAACCCGTAGACGCGCGTGTGTATATAAATATATATATACACGCACGCGTATATATATATATATAAATAAAATTTTTTTTGACTAACACGACCCCGAGTCGCTTTGTTATATACAATGCCCCACGACTCGTGTCACCTTTATCAGCTGTCCCCCTACTATGAGTTATAGGCCGCGGTACAAAGTCCAGCAAGTGCCGCACGGCCGACGACGTCCCGCCGCTAATGATACCGTAGTCTTCTTCTCGTTGTCAAAGTGACAACGTCAACGAATCTATCTGCACTCGCGCACCGTCGCCATCAACGTTGCTAACCTTTTGACGCCCGAGGATCACGCCGGACATCGCGTCGTCGACGCCAGCGAAAGTGTCACGATATTATGCGAAGATTATATATTCCTACCGCCGCCGCTAATATTAATATTTATACATACGTATATGTTAATATTCATTTATATATTCCTACAGCCGACGTCGCTGCCGCCGTATATGCCTCGTGTATAACGTTCCTCCCGACACGCCCGCCCACAAAACACGGCTATACCTCGTGCATGATACTTTTACGTACTTAAGTCGCTTTAATATATATTTATATATACAGAGTGATTTATTAATGATAAGACATTCGTTTACTCAGTAACTATTGAAAATTTGAAATTTTTGGTAGGGAAAAATTGTTTGATTCAAAAAACACTACAATAATATGTAGTAAAAACATGATATTTTTCATCCCTTCAAGGTTAAAATACATTAACTTGAGTTTTTAATTTAATAGCAAATGGCATTTGAATTTTTAATATAACTTTATTTGTTTATTAGATATAAATATTTAAAGTTTCAAATTTTTGAGTTAATATACATGTATAAAACACTAGGAATTACAAATGCAGATAGCTAATTGGTTTTTTTATTACATTGCTGTCACAGTCACGGATTGTTTATTATCAATTATGACTATCAATAGATATATTTTTTGTATTTTCAGTTAGTGTATTTATAAACTCTTATATAGAACTTTTGTAAATACTATATTTTTAAAATTCTGAAAAAATATCTAACATACAAATCATACAAAAGTAGAGATTATAGTGAAAGTGATGAAAGTCAATTTTTATCATTTTTGTGGAGAGTCGTTTGAAATATTTTAATCTTACAAAGACTTATATAGTTATCATATTAACTACACAAAATTGTTATTATCAATGGTAGTAAGGTACATTGTTGTGAGTTTATAAATACACTAACTGATAATACAGAAAGTATATATATTGATAGTCATAATTGATAATAAACAATTCGTGATTGTGACAGCAATGTTATAGAAAACCAATTAGATATCTGTATTTATAATCCCTTGTGTATTACACCTGTATATTAACTCAAAAATTTGAAACTTTAAATGTTTATATTTAATAAACAAATAAAGTTATATTAAAAATTCAAATGCCATTTACTATTAAATTAAAAACTCAAACATTTTATTAAATTCAAAATATGTGTTCCCATTAAAAAAAACAAAGTCAACCCCCTTACGAGGCATAAGTGATGTACTTAAAAAATATTACATAGTTAATAATTCAAGAATAATGTGTAACGAAAGATAATACAAAAAAAATGTTTAAATTATTATTATTCTGTAAGTAATTGAGTGGGTTATGATAAAAAAATCACCCTGTATATGTTAAAATATATTAGAATCTTTTTTTAGATAATAACTTGATTTAACAGTTATATAACAAAATATTTTATTGTAAATGTTATATTTGTTGAGAAAATGAAGAAACTGAAAGTGTACTCTTAAGTTCGAATTTTCAACCCTCATTCGGCACATGTTTAAGTTAGAGAGTCTACATTTTCAGGGAATTATATATATTAACTGTAATTTATGTATATAAATTAATTACATAAGAAAAATCGATGTCTCATAATTCGATAAATTCTCAGTTCCTGGTCAATATTTCGATTGTGTCTAGGCCTTGTATAATCTGATATATCATCAGCTGAAAAATAAAAATTAACATAAAAAACAGAAATAACTATTAGATTTCGCTTATCTGCGGCTTACACTAACATCTGAAGAACTGTCATCACAGAAGCTCAGTGAATAAGGATAGAATACCCGAAATGCTAAACACGTTATGTGTGTTGGAAGAAATATGTTATTTATAGTTTAAATATAATTGACTTTATTAATACTTTATTACTTTGTATCTAACTATAAATAATATTTTGCCTATAGTCATGCCTATTGGCAGATCAACAGTCCAGGGGAATAAGAAAAATGTAGCCACCCTAAATGCTTAAAGAAAAAAGAAAAATTTAGTTGTTCATAAAAATAACCTTATGCAAAAAAGTCATAAATACACCTTTATATTTTGGTATTAAAATAACTAAAAATTATTTTCAACATCTAGACATTGAAAATTATGCACGTGAACATTGTAGGTTCTCTTTACTCTTTAAACTAAATCTTTAATAAATTAATAGATTGGGGAAATATTTCAAGACTCACAAAAAATAATTTTTTTTCCTTATCTATGTCAATTGTTTTCTGCACTGATTTGATAACACTTTCATTAAAAAGTAAATTTGAAAATCGGAAAAATATAAGTACATGATAATGTTTATGAATCACTTACGTAAGGTTTCCCATCCATCAAATTCTCGACTTAGGCTTTCAAATAACATCTCTTCTTCGTCATCAAGAGTAAAATCGACTTAAAAAAACATGCAAACATTTTTATTTTTAATTCTATTAAACTTAATTTACAGATATTTTTGTATAGATAAATTTTCGATTCTAAGATTATTTTAAAGGTAAATATTTTAGGCACAACTAAAACAAAATTGTCGGTGTACAAAATTATTTTTTTCCTTCCTAAATTTTTTAGCTTCGATGCGAAGCTGAGAAGGTATTGGTTTTACTATGATGTGTTTTTTTTTTATCTGTTACACTTTTTTTCAGCTCTCACCGGACCGATTTCTTTCAACGATATGTCAAAAGATCACAAATCATGTTTAGTGAAGACATTACCCTTAAAAATTGAAAAAATTTCCCTCGTTATTCATAAATGAAAGAAATTTACAAAAAATTTGTATGAGAATTTCGTGAGAAATACTGTGGAGATGTTTATTTTTTATTTAAATAAAATTTGAAGAGGGGGAACCGGAAAAACTCCAATTTCGGCATAGTGGTGCCGTGGTATAGTTGGATCAAGTATAATGATATCTGACAGTGATTGAAATCACCTTCATAAAAAACGCTTCGATGCAAATCTTTAGATAGTGTTTAATTTAAAAAAAATTGATGAATTATTCCAAAAGCTACATGATCTGCTAGTTCCTTATTAATATCTCGATTAAGATAAAGTATGTCGAATGAAAAAGGGTTTATTAAAAAATATTATTTCTCATAAAAAAATTGTGTGGATACATATACTTTTCAATAAGTTATAGCATTATAAAGTTAAATATAATATAAAAAATAAAATCGAGAATTTTCACACGAAAATAGCATTCGGTAGCCATTTTCGCCGTGAAGACAAGTCCAGAGGTCAAATTTTTTTTTTTCAAATTAAAGTATATTACATTAGCTTTAATTTAAGATATATATAAAAGTGTCAGATCTTCCGGAATATTTTCAAAAGTTAAGTTGAAAAAGTTAATTTTTTGTGAAAAAGTTGTCTTTTTAAATCTCCCCCTATGGGCAGATAAAGGGTCAAATTTACAAAAAAAATATATCAAATGATAGGTAAAGACATCAAACATCTATAAAAAAAAAACTATATTGATATGTTCATTTTTAAAAAAGTTACGACACATTTTAGTAAAAAAAATTGAAAAAATTTCGAAAATTAACGATTTTTAAATTTGTAATTTTTTTGGAGGTTTCCCCCATTTATGGGGAACGAGGGAANAAAAATTGAAAAAATTTCGAAAATTAACGATTTTTAAATTTGTAATTTTTTTGGAGGTTTCCCCCATTTATGGGGAACAAGGGAAATTTTTTCAATTTTTGAGGGTAATGTCTTCGACTAGATACGATTTGTGATCTTTTGACGTATCATTGAAAGAAATCGGTTCGGTGAGAGCTGAGAAAAAGTGGTAGTAACAGACACAAAAAAAAAAAAAACACATCATAGTAAAACCAATACCTTCTCAGCTTCGCATCGAAGCTAAAAGTTGGAAGGACAAAGGTGAAAACAACGATGCCGTATAGAAAACCGTTGGTTAATTAAAAACTTAAATGCTAGGAATGAAGCATCTAATAATGAATCATGGTAGTAGTGGGATATTTTATGAAGAATTATAAATTAGTAAAAAGACGAAAGAAAAGTCAACATGCAGAGTCTTAGGGTAGGACCACTAGTACTTTTATTGACTAATTTGAAAAGACTCAGAGTTATCTTGTGAAAGCAGGGATCTAATTAAATAAAACTTGTAAGAACAAGAGTAAATGGCGAATTGGGTGACAAGTTGATTTAACCGTAAAATTCTGTATAGGTATTCATAATAGACTATAAAGTTTATACACAATCTGTACCAAAAAGGAACAATAAGAATATTGGTTAAATTAAAATAACACATGAAAAAAAAACTTGATAAAAGAAGCCATCCATTGATGAAACTTTTAAATGAATATATATTTACATATTTAATTAGTATACATATGTTTATATATATCTCATACACACAAATATATGTAAATAGGTTTTTTGTCTTTAATTAGAAAGAAGATCTCTACACCATTTGCATTTTAATCGTCTCGGAGAATTACCAGGAATAATTATTTAATCATTTAAAAAAGAAATAAATATGAGACATATATAAAACTCGTATTACATAATATGTAACAAAAAAAAAAAATTCCTAAAATTATTATTTTTTCATTATTTTATCTTTTTATCTTATCAACTCACTATTACTTCCATGTTAAGATTTCCTTAACATAGTTTTTAACTTAAGAATTATTGGCTTGCTCGTTATTATATATTTCCCAAATTCATTGTAAGTTATAACGAATCATCAATATAATTTTTCTGTTTTATTTTGTACTTAGTTTTGTTTGATATTTGTTTTATTTTGTTTGAAGTTATGCGTTGTTTATCGTTATTATATATTTCTCGTTAATTGTTATATGTTTTTTTCACATTTTACTACTCCAATCGTTTTTTGGTAGTAATAAAATTATAATAATAAAGTTATCAAAATGGTTTGAATTCCTGCTGTATTTTACGTAAGACCATATAATTCTTCGTATAATTATATAGTGATACAAATTTAATTTCTAATCTGTGGTGACTGTATAAAATTATTGTATTTTTGTGTTATTGTGAAATTATTCTCTATCTGTTTTCTGTGATTTTAGTATATGTGAGTTGTCTATTGTATTATTACCCGTAGTAGCGTCGTAACCTAAAAGTAGTGTAGTATGTGTTGCATTTGTAAAAAGAGAATATTGTTTTTATAATAAATATCAATTTTATATAAAACAATTAATAGTTAAATAATTTTACATGTCGTACAAAAGGTAAACCACAAATCAAAAACTTACATAATCCTTCATAATTTGAAACATTTTGATTGCAAAATGGACATGGTTTATCAAGTTTTTTATTGCTAACGGCACATCTGTTTCCTAACATGTGGCCACATGGCTGAAGAACTACGGTGAGCTGTTCATCATCACATTGATCACAATTCTTTAAAACAACTAAATGATAAAATAAAAATTAATTAAATTTAATGATAGCATAAAATTACCCCCGTTTGAATCATTATTAAATAATTTTATAACTTTTAAAACTAAGAATATTATATGCATATATTATTCTTATAATATCAATATTATTTTTTTGTGGTCTAGGTATTCTTTACATTAATGTTACACGACCCCAAGAATATAACGAAATAATTATCAAGAATCATTAAAATATGGATTATATTTAAATACATTCACGCCTATTTTAGGGCTTACTAAAAATTGAAATTCAAAAAGAAGATTGATATGATAAAAAAATTGAGAAACACTGTTTTGTACTATTCCTAAACGTTAGAATAATCTTATGTTTTATAAAATTATCAAATTGATAAAATAATTTTGGCCTGGGATTTTAAAGTTAATTCAGAATTGAAATTTATACATTATTCTATTATAAATATTAATTTATTCACTTGTATATTAATATCACATAAATAATGATAAAATAAAAAAATTAAATAAGGAAATATTGTGTTGTAAATTTTTTTCTAAAAAAAAAGTATAATATGAACTGAGTTCGGTAAAGTGAATTTGATAAAGATGATTACAAATTTTCAATTATGTCTAATAATTTACAAATATTCTGATGTGTAAATAAATATATACCCAAGTCTTTGAATTTCTCTATGTGTTTCCCACATGATTCGTTAGGACACGGAATTTCTTCTTCCTTATACTTAATAGCACAATCGTTTCCTAAAAGGTGACCACATGGAGAAAGGACAACAGAGGGAAGTTCTTTTTTGCAAATACATCTTGGGAGCTCAACTAAAAAAAAAAAGATTACATCAATTAAAATGGATGTTAAATAGAAAATCTTTTTAAGATCTTTTTAAAATATTTTTAAAAATATATAATGAATTGTAAAAACACTTGCAACAACTTCTTTTGCCACATATAAATTTGAAATTGGTGCATTAACTACAATATTAAAAAAAATTGTCCTGATTATTGCTCTACTGTAAAAAATCAGCCACCTCTTAAAATAATTACTTTAATATGTGAAATTAAATAAATTCGCATTGAAGCGTTTTTTATGATAGAGATGATAATTATTGTCAGATATCATCTATTCTTATCTCAATTTTTTACAATTTGTTATACAGAGTGTTTGGTAAGTAAGGAAACAGGTCAGTTTTTATAAACAATGAGAACAATAGAAACCCATTTTAACAAGTGATTTAGTATTGTTCAGTCAGTATTTTTTAAGGTAACAAACCTAATTACATTAGTTGTCATACAGGGTGTTCAGTAAGTTCTGTATAGTTCACTATAAAGATTTTATAGCCACACAGATGGTATAGTATTCATGTTCATTCTTTTATGGTTGATGTCGACACATTTGTTTATAATATTTGAAATATATATGTGTCTACATTTATACAGAATATCAGTATAATCAATATTTGAATAGTAAGGTAATATTCAGTAGGACCTAAAAATAGCGAAATCAAAAGCTACAATAAAAAATAAACATAGCCACGGTATTTCCCACGAAATTTTCATACAAATTTTTTGTAAATTTCAAGCCTTCCCTTGAACTTTTGGTTTAAAGTTGGAAAAAAATTTCACTTAAGTGTGACCCATCAATTTGCATTGAAATTTTACTGGAGTCCTGTAATGGAGTTTATTTTTAATTTAAACGATTTCATAATGAGAAAAACTGGAAAAACCCACAGATAATGTGATATTTTTTAATTTAACGAGTTTAAAATAAATGCTTCAACAGAGGGTGTATTTATAATTGATAAAGAATATATTTAAATTACATTTTTAAGCAAGTGACAGACATTAAAAATATTTTAAAATACAGGTTTTTTTTTGCTATAGGTGTTTATTCGTTCTTACTATAATTTATGCATTTTTATTGCATAAAAAAATAAGCTGAAATATTATTGCATGACATAGGACATAAGGTAAGTACAATTTAACATATTCAATAGATTAATAATCTATTAGCTAATAAACCATTAGTAAAATTATTAATTAAAAAAAAAATATTTAATATTCTAATATTCCACTACCCTATCCTACCTTGCAGCCCCTCTTTTATTATTTTATTTTTAACCTAATTTTTGGTTTATTACAATTAATCACCTTTATTTACCTTTACACCATTATATTATTGAATTTAGTATCACTGGATTCGTGTGATAGTGCTTCTTACCTCAGTGCGCAAACATCTTTGATTGTATAAATTAAGAATAATCCTATTCAATATTGATCAATAATTATTGATTAATATTATAATTATTAAGTAGTCGTGTAATTATTTTAATTTTTGTTTTAATCTATTTTGTGGTTAATATTAAACCAATAAATTTATTTTATGATTTTGAGTTCTATTAAAATTGTTTTAGAAGTTTTATTAGAATTTCAGGACATTTTTAAAAGTTAAGTTAAAAATGTTAACATTCATGTTAAAGTTTCTATTTGGATTTCCTCTTGAGCAAGTAAAATATCAGATTAAAAAAAAACATATTCCCAATAAAAGAGGAAAAACTAAGGTATTTATAAAAAATTGATGGGAGTTTTAAATAAAATTTTTTTAAAAATTGGTTATCTTAAAAATTGTATTTTTTTGGGGTTATTCTTTCCATTTTATTTTTTTTAATTAAGTTTATGTTAAATATTTTATTTATATTAAAATAGTCCTCGTTGTATTTACCTACGTATAAATATTAATAAAGACTTAAAATTCATATAGTAAGTTTTCAACATACAGAATGTTCAGTAAGTAAGGAAATAGATTAATAATTATAAACAATGAGAACAATAGAAATCCGTTTCCTTACTTACTGAACATTGTGTATAATGAAAATTGTAAAAAACTGTCACTAAAGGGTGTGTTAAAAATCTATCTGATTCCTAATCGCCCCCATTTGACCGCCACTGATTGGTACTAAAAGTTGCCACTTAATGTCATTAGTAAATGAGTTAGACAAATTTTGATCTTGCTTTCTCCTTAGGTATGAAGAAAAATAGTCTAGAAATATATTATTTTAATAATATCTTCTTCTTCTTTTTCTTCGCCTTAATCCCAATTATTTACACACTTCCATCCGATCTTCTCTCCTTTTGCTCTTCTGTCATACTTTGAATTGCTTTTTTTACTTTCCGTGATTTATTGAACTTCTTCATCCTACCTATTTGTACTCTCAACAACAATCTCCTTTGCAGTATTTTTTACACAATTAGCAAATCTATTCCACAAATCAATTATGTCTCCCTCGACATTCCGCATCGTCCACTCTTTTACTGTCTTTACAAAGTTTTTTTATCTTCCGCTTTCAATTTCTACCACCAGTTCTTCGATTTTTCGCCCCTGTTCCTTCTATTTTTGTATATTCTCTTTCTGGTACATCACAACTCCTTTACCATTAGTCTAATTGTGTAATTACACTCTCGCCTGGTATAACTTTACAATCTTTTACTCGCTTTACACTCTCTCTCTTCCACATAAAATAATCAATCTGTGATCTATTCCCCCCACTTTTATAAGTTATATAATGTTCTTTCCTTTTTCTAAATTAAGTATTAACCACAGCAAGATCATACAATACTGCGAAATCCTGGATTCTTTCTCCAGCTCCATTCTTAGTACTAAAACCATACCCTCCATATACACTTTTATATCCTCTTCTCTCATTACCTACATGTCCATACATATATCTACCTATCACTGCATCCTCAATGCCAGGTACCCTATGCATCACCTCGTCCATCTTTCTCCAAAACACTTCCTTGTCTATTTCATCACAGCCTACTTGTGATGCATAGGCACTTATTACATTTAGAACTTTTTCTTCGAATATCAATTTTACGACTACAACTCTGTCACTTTTCCTAGCTACTTCTACTATTTTAATTTTGATCTCCTCATCCATTATTATCCCTACACCATTCTTTGTTCTAGGTTTACCTGAGTATATTATTTTATAACCCTTTCCTATTTCCCTCGATTTCTCTCCTTTCTACTTAGTTTCCTGCACATAACAAATGTTAACTTTTGTCCTATTCAATACTTCTATTGATTCTCTACTTCTACTAGTTAATGTTCCAACATCCCAAGTACCTATTCTTACTTTGTATTCCTTACACACGAGTCCAGTCTAGAGTAAAGTGGTGATATTCCTACACCGTTGACATTACAAGCATTTTGGTAGTCCTGTACACATGACTGGTAAAATAGCTACCGCACAAGTTGTCCGGCTGATATCAAACACTTTATTCCTTAGGCATTCTCCGTTTTTAACTATTTTATTTACTCTCACCTGTTGTCCCCGCGTACATCCTTTTTTTTCTCGACCGGCTTATTGTGAGCCGTCCTGGAACTGCTGTTAGGCATTACTTCAGGGCAGACCACCACGTTGTGAATCAGCCCGAAATTAATGAAGAGCTGATTCGCAATGTGGTGTGGCCCCCTCCCGTTAACTGGATCCCAGAGTGGGAACTGTTAGGGACGATTGGCAAAATAACTCGCCCCTCGTACATCCGAGATGGGACAATTCGCCTAAGTTTTGTTCAGGACTACTCTACTTTTTGACCGAAATTTTGCGCCGGCTGTCGACCTGACGCAACCTCATTACTTCAATACCTCATAGTCGCCTCTTATGACTGACAGAGGGGCCGTGGAAGTATTCTTATCCCCTATCCACAAAGAAAATTATTTTAATAATATAATACTAATATTATATTACTTGCTTTGTAGTATAAATCAAAATAAATTTCCTCTTAAAATTAAAATGTTCATATAATTTGAATAATTTTAAAATTAAGTACCTAGGTTTTCATATTTATCTATTTTTGTTCTGCAAAGTGGACAATTTTTAACTTCACGAGCTTCCATTTCATTAGCACAGTAATTACAAATTGAATGACGGCAATTATTTAAAATTACTGTTAACGGTACATTATCATCTTGACAAACAACGCAAAAACCTTGGTCAATTTCTAATAAATTAAAAATAGTATTTAGTTAATCCTTTAAGTTAAATTATAACTTTTGTATTTAGTTTCTTATAATTTTTTTAATTACTATTTCTGATAAAAATCTGAGAGAAACTATTGGGGTAAACTTAGTAAAACATTCTAGAAGTTTAAAATAAACGTGTTTATTTTGGTTTAATACTTAAGACAAATATTGATTTTATTTAAATTTTATTAAATATAATTTATAAAAATATTGAGTTAGTGTAACAATAATTTTTTTAAAAAGACGATTTTACACTTATTAAAATATCAACTTATAGATGTTTTAATAGATTCTGCAGAATAGTTATTCATTAAATAATATTGTTGAATAAAAAAAATTAATTAATTCAGCATAGCTAAAAATATGAATTGGGTGATCTCGCTATATACGATGTTAAGATAAAAAGTAATGATTTCAACTAAAAACTTATTATGATAAATTAATGAAATAATACTAATGTGTAGATAAGTTAAATGTTTTAATACATACACATATACGTATACATATTTCTATGATTCTTCTATTAGTGGTTTTTATAAATAATAAAATATGTTTTAATACTATTAATAAAAGTATAGTTTTTCTTATAATTATATGTTGTTTTATACATTTAATGTTATTAATACATTAAAAATATCAGTTTACATTATTTTTATTTAAATTAAAAATATATTTTACTCTCCTGAAAAAATAATTTAAATTAATATAAGTTTTTGGGAAATAGTCATAGAAATCAAAAGCCAAAATAAAAGAAAACTAGATTAAAAACATTCATAATTAAGAAGAATATGGAACCAAAATTTTACTACTTCCACGTATTCTGGACTGGGAGAAGACGGTATCTAGTGTCCTGTACGTTAAAATTGACACAATGTTTTTTGTGTCTTTCCGGCGCGACTACATTAACAACCTAAACTAAACTATGTCGTCAGGTAAAACGTGAATACGTGGTGGCCGTCATAAGGTTTGTCTCGACGATGTCTTGGGTCACGGAATCTTATTTCTTGTATCACATTTTTCAAATAATTCAACGTACATATTTGATAACTAGCCATATCAAAATAATAAGTAAAAAAATGTAATTTTTTTATTGAATTAAGTTTGGAGTTCCATATTTATAAAACAATGAATTCTAGAAACTAGAGCTCTATAAATCATTATGTTGGCGCGGATATGTATTGATTACACTTTAAATCATAAATTATAGTAAAATTATTTATACCTTATTTTAAATTTCATTGAAAAAACTGTATTACCTTCACAAGAAGACGAATAAATGACTATTAATATTATTAACACAATGAATATTTTCTAAAATAAAAATAAAAATAAAACCATTTATTATTTTTTACTAGTTTAAATTACTATCTAAAACATATAAATATATTATAAATAATATATGAAATACACATACCATATTTTATGGTTGCAAATTTTACTGAATTTACGATACAAACTTCAAAATTACTGAAAATTTAGTAAAAAGGAATATAAAGTGGTTTAATGATGTTATAAAGGTTCCTACTTCAATATATTTAATATTATTTTTAAATAATCAAGATGATTTAATATATATAAATATAATTTTTTTATTTATGAGAAAAATATTGTTCGAAAATAGCTGCTCTTTTGTAAACAATGAAACATATATTAAAATTTTAATCATGAAAATTTGTTTGATAAAACAAACATACTAACATTCTATATGTTCCATTTATTTGATGACTTTATACACATATTTCATCCCAAAACTTTTCATCCTCAGACTTTTTTTACACATAAACTATGTACATTTTTGTTTTCATTTAATATCTAATTTTAATCTCAATATAATTAACAAAATTGTTGAAGTTTAAATTTCCTTTTGTTTTCCAAGATTACAGAAACCAAATTACGTAAATATTGGTGATACAGTAATCATTTCGTCAACTATCATTAAGTCTAGAAACTCACGTCCATATATACTTAAATCTAGATTGAGATCTTCTAGCCTAAACTTCTACCCGAGTAGCAATTCGAGTTCATCTGGGTTCATTTAATATAGTAACAACGGTGCTGAACTCAGTTCAAAACCCGTTCACAGCACGGTTCAAAATGAGATTTGAATACGGATTTTAACATGGGGTGAACCGAGTTCTACAAAAGTTCAGAAAGAGTTCAAAGACCGTCCCTCGGTTCAACTATAAAACCTTCGATAACAGTTCAATAAAAGCAAGCTCTACGACGATTCATTAAGCGTTCATTAGTTCATTAGCAGTTACGGTATTTTAAATTAAATGTATAGGTTTTGTAAATATTCAAACATTTTATAATTTTAAAATAATAAATTGTATTACTATATACACAATGTATAAAATAGAATAAAATATATTATATGTAAATATAAAATAAAATAGTTAACCTTCGAATTTTAGGTTTATTTTATATTAAATGATAATTAGTAAACAATCCATTCATACAATTTGATAATAATTAATATAAATTAATAACAATAGTTAATTTTAAATAAAAATAATGATGTTAGCAATGTCAGCAATTTATTTACTGTAACTCAGTTTGATTTATTGTTGTACAATATATACCAAAAAAATCCAATAAAAATATTTTATCATAATAAATTAATCACTAAGGTGTTATAGAGTTTAGACAAGAAATATATAGTTAATATTAGTACAGTATTAGTAAATTGTGAAATTGCAATAGTTGATATAACAAAAAATATTACTGTGGTTATAAAAACAATTAGTAATTTTAATTTAATTTCCATGAAATTGAATAAAAGAAAATCATTGCCATAAGTACAACAAAAGAAGTAAAACATATAAGTAGCATTCAATAAGATGGCATAAGATTACCATGTTTTTTTTT